TTCTGCTTATAATAATGAAGTTTCATTGAAGGTTGACTTAGAGGCCCATTCAGGGCTTGCAATCATAAAATCAACAATTTGATAATCTTAGACTGTTTTATCTTCTTTCCTGCTCTAACTAAAATATATTTTAATATAGTAGAGTGAGACGCAGCATCATTAAGTTGGCGACATACCTTTATAGAAAATTGGTTTTGAGAGTATGGCCCCCGAATCTATTAATTACGATACTTACGAACCTTATAAAAGTAATAAATGTTAATTTATGGGGGTACAATTTATAAAAATTATTTAAGGAACTAATTGTTTAGTCGTCTTTCAATTTATTGAAAGCCAATAAATCTACTATATAATTTTATGAAACAGATTGTAAGTTGATATGCCTAGCGCATTTTCTAAAATAATAAAACGGACTCTGCGATGTATGCAAGACTTTTAAAGCTTGTTTCCCTAAGAGCTGGACTTTAATAACCAAACTTTAATAAAAAAATATATCTGGTTTTTAAATTGTAACAGATTTAAAAACTGAAAAATTTCTTAAAATTTAAGTAATATTATGCTTTAAATTGTAACAGGTTTTTTTATTATTAAATAAAATCTGTTACAATTTACAGTCGTTTATTAGTAAATAAGTCTAATTTTTGTCATCATTTGGCCTATGAGCGAGAGCCCAACAAAAGCTGTATAGGCCGGTTATATAAAACGACCTATAAAACCTGGCTAAAGCCGTAGACACCAACCCTATATAGACTACTAATAATGTCAAAGCATTTTTACGTCACCGCCTTTCGTCTTGAAGCTACGAATTTCAAAATAATGATAAGTATAAGTAATTGACACTCAGCTCTCTCATTTATAAAACACAAACAGATACTCGTCACATCCCAAATATCTCTTCAGAATATGATTTTCCTCCTCTAAAAATTCGTCGAGGATTAAACTTAAACTGTAATGGCTTCTTAATGACCCCGGACAAAGGCTCTGCAGAAACAATATTTACGCACATTTATAATGAGAAGTGAGGATCCCTCGCCGACCTCTTCGCGATTCTGGTGCGCATATTTCATTTTAATGTCTGCCCGAGGGGTAGCATCCAAGCTACAGACTTTCTGGAGCAGAACTGTAATTTTAAAGAGTCCATAATGCACTCTCCTTTGGACTAGAAACAATCAATGCTGGCTGTTACTTTAAAGTTATGTCTTTTAAAGGCTTTTACTGATCACTGCTGCATTAAAAGGTAATTTTATATATTTACATACTCGTAGTATCGTTTAAAAATGCAAAATAAAGTAGGTATAAGTCCCGTAATGCGCTGGAACCTTGTCTTATAACAGCAGCGTGACGTCATATGAAAATAGAAAATATAGTTAAAATATTTATGAATAATCTTGTTACGGAAGCCTAATATACGACGATCACCAAGTTAGCATCGACACCGATCAACACTGCACACGGCACTAGGCAGCACGAGGAGCAGTGTCACCGGAACGTGCCAGGCGTTGCAACACCACCAGCGATTATGTCAAAATCTAATTATGATATTTCATATTTGTTTCACTTATACACTTTTATACTAATTCTTTTATAATTAAATTTAGTTTAATAAAATTTCCTTTTTTTTAAGACCTCGGGCTGCAGATAACTTATTTATCTCCAAAATATTTTTATAATAATTAAGTAACTTACAGTTTTACACATGCCTATTGAAAAACAACACACGGTCCACTGAATTGCAATAAATCTTATCCTCTTACAATTTACATTTTCTTCCTCTCTTACATATTCTGGTCGTCAGTTACTGATACTGCTAATATTGATGATAAGGTTACCCAGTTCAATTTAAAGATAATAGGATTGTATGATGAACACGCTCCCCTTCGTCGAGTCTAAGTTAAGCATAATCCAGCACCATTGTTAAGTTCTGAAATAAGAGAGACTATGGCAAAAAGGGATAGGGCAAAGAGAGCATAAAAGAAACGTCCAAATAACCGCAATTTTATTCGTTTTGAGGATCTACGAAATTGCTGCAGCCGTATGTGTAGGGATGCTAAGAGACGCTTCTTCCACAACTCTCTTGCTGATCGCAATCCTATTAATGCCTGGCGGTTTTTGCGCTCTGTAGGAGTGAGGAAGTCAACTACTACTGTGTCTACTAATGTAGACTTAAATGTTCTTAACAGATACTTCTCTCTTCCTCCTTCTACTATCGATGGTGAAGTAAAGGACTCTACGGTAGCTGAACTTTCACTGGTACCGAGGCCAGACTGCACATCTTTCGTATTTACCAAAATATCCGAAACTAATGTTAAAAAAAATTTCCGAGGCTGCTGGCGAGAACAACCTAAGCGTAAGAATGTTCATCCCTATTTAATCTTTTCTTTTTCACTTGCGACCTATTTCTATTTTTTCCCTTCTCTCTAAACTTTTTGAGCAATTATCATTTTAATAAGCAATTATCAACTTTATATTTTTCCTAATTCCCATTTGAATAAGTACCAATCTGGTTTCTGCCCTGGTTACAGTATATAACAGCTTTAATAAACATTACCGATGATATTAGTTGGGCTATGGAGAATAAAGCTCTTATAGTTCTAATTCTTATAGACTTCAGCAGTGCTTTTTATTCTATCAATTTTGACATTCTTCTCGCTATTCTTCGTTCTTGCAATCTCTCCGCATGTTCTCTCATGGTTTGATTTCTACCTTCGGGGACGCGTCTCGATATTAAATCTTCCGATTGCGGTGTTCCTCAGGGTGGTGTTCTCTCACCTCTCTTATTTTCCATTTTCATTGACTCGGTTACTAAAGTTATAACTTCCACCCCTATGCAGACGACTTGCAATTTTATCGACACTTTTAAATAGAAGACTGTAACTCGGCACTGGTAGCAATTAATAACGATTTGGATCGCATTAGTTCTTGGGCGAAATTGATTGACCTCATGCTTACCCAAGCCAATCTCAGGCCATTGTGATAGCCAGCAGTTTAAATATTAAATTTATTTCTACATTATCTTTACCATCAGTGCTTTTAGATGGGACTCAGATCCGGTTAACAGATACCGTAAAAAATCTTGCGATTACAATAGATTCAAATCAAGCATGGACTGCCCATGTATCTGAGGTTAGTTGTAAGACCTCTTTCCCATTTAACACACTTAAATGCCTTCAAAACATTTTACCTTTTAAAACTAAAGTGTTACTGGCACAGTCATTAATTAAACCTCTTCTTGACTATGCTGATGCATGTTACTTGGATTCCACTGAGGACTTCTTAAACAAACTAGAACGACTTCAAAATCTGGCAATTATATATTTTATGGTCTTCGTAAGTATGATCATGTGTCACAATTACGTAAGTAGCTCATGTGGCTTCCCATTCGTCGACGTAGAAATGTCAGGATTGTCTGCCTTCTGTTCAACATTCTGTATAATCCGGTCTATTCTTCCTATCTCCGTGAACTTTTCTCCTTTCTCCGTTCTCCTGATGCTCTTTGCAGATCCCACCTTAAGTCCAATCTTCAAACTCCTTCACACAAAACAGATTTTGCTTCATATTCCTTCACTGTTCAAGCTGCTAGACTCTGGAACTCTCTACTTGCCGATATACGTGACAATCGCACTATTTCTGTGTTCAAAAATAGTGAAGGATCATTTATCTTTCCTATTTTTGATATTGGAGAGAGTAGGTATTGTTAATCTTTATACATAATATAAAAATATATTATTATTTATATAATGTTTGCGCAATTATGTAAATTGTTTTTATTTATTTTTATTTTCTCTCTTTCCCGGTATTTGTATTTGTTTATATATTCCATATTAATTTTATTTTCGGAGGCACATACTGACTACCTTATTGTATTATCTATTCCATGTTGTGGGCCTACTGGTAGAAATTTCAATTTGAAATAAGCAGTGCCCTTGTACTAATGTCTGTACATTTGTTCATGTGAAATTGTATTTGTGTACAAAATAAATAAATGAAATGAATGAATGAATATATTTGATCGATTTTGCATTCACAATGCTGTACTGAAAAATATTCTTAATGAAAAAAACATTTTTCATTAAGAATATTTTTCTCGTTAGTTCTGTGATATGGTTGTCAAAAATCTTACGCTATGGTCGGTCATAGGATGGGTGACCAAAAATCGAGTTCGAGTGTGTTTCCGAAGACACGTTAAGCCTATGGTCTCGGCTGCATCTGCAGACGTTGATCAATCTGCAATGGGCCCGCATGGTGGTTCATGGCAGATTCTCCTTATTCTTTAAAAGGCTGGCGATGATGATGATTATGTAATTCATCATTGAATATAGGTAGTGGCAGATATTTTTCAGCAAAACAGCAGTTTGATTGGTAAGATAGATAAAAGGCAGTGTTATTGTAAAAACAATTAAAATTATCACAACTTATTTTTTTTTATTGCGAATGGTGTTTTACTTGAAAGTAGCTTTCAAACCGCCGACAAATACTATGTCGTGGGCCAATCGAGAACTGCCCGGGCATATCACGATATAAACATAAAAGGATAATTTTTAAAATATGCATATTTTTATTATAATAATACATTCATTATAATAAAAATATGCATATTTTAATAAAAGGGGAAGGGGAAAATCAATATATACTTCAAACGAAAATAGGAACTCATTTATTTACATACAAAATATTTACATTGAAGGGCTCCAACTACAAACAAATATATGAAATGGCAACTTGAGCAAATTTACTTAAGTAATATTATGCTTTAAGATATTCTGCTCTCCCGATTTGTGATCGAGCGATGACGCTTAATTAACTTGAATTACATTTATTATTAAACAGTGTAAAATAAAATAAAAAATCTTATCAAAATAAATTATACACCAAAAATAATCTCAATATTATTGGGTTTATGAACTTAAATCTCATAGAATAAAAATTAATATTCTGTTAACTTCCAATGTGTATATCATTCTACGATATTGCTGAATACGCTTAATATTTTTTTTTTGTTTGGGTTCACTAACATACTTACACTAAACTTTACTATAAAATTAAGAAAAGGTAAGAAAAAAGTAGTTCTGGAATTCTCACTTACAACCTACGACATGTCGAGGAATGAAAAAAGTATAAAACAGGATTTTTAAAAGATTTCAGTTTAGTTCTTTGGACCGCATCGAGTACCTAAATTAATTTATAAATCTAAACATTATATTTTTGTACACATTCCAATTCTCCCATTCACAACTATAAATTGAAACGTCTAAAAGTCAATATATAAAAATTGTGACCGTTGGTTTACAATATCACAATAGGACCTGTATAAAGGTCACCTAAATCTTAATACTAGACTTGCAACAAATATCTAGAACATTCCACCACACGCGGAATACCCTAATACCGAATATTTTGCGGGCTCCACCCGAATATTAATAGCTGGATTACGCAAACGAATAACTTTTATCAACATGTTATTCCCCTGTTTTTACAAATATACTCGTAATGTTACTTAGAGAGATATGAGGCTTAAAGTTCAGATATCGAGACATCGTTCAAATTAACATTAAAAAAATATATATAGTGCTTTGGCTTAATCCCACATAATCCCTATATTTTACTTCCATTGGGAGTATATAAAACATAAGTGCGCTTGTCCGATCAGAACGTTAAAAATTATTTTATAATGCCTATGATATCTACTTATTGTACTCTATAATTATACAGAATTTCTTGTACAAGGAGATAGAACTCTTGATTTTCAAAGTTTTATATGCCCCCGTTAGTGGCTACAAAACAGTGAGATTATATAGGATTAAGCCCCAATTTGTATGCTAATTCACGTCTAATTTAGTGTACCTAAAACGTATTATGTAATATATTTTACAATGTCACGTGTAAATCTCACTACATCACAATGTAAACTTTATAAAACCTGTTTTTGTCAAACTCGATAATTATATTAAAACTCGTAGATCAGATGTTGCCGTTTATGTAGCTATCTAGACCTGCTAGGTTACTGGTGTTTTACTAATAACCTAGTATAATAGTATGAATAAAAGAAGTTTAAAATAATATTCATTGCAAATCTATTTTACGCTATTCACTAACGTTTACTTGATCAATTAGTTCGTAGTATTCCGGGCGGAATGTAGTCAAATGCTATAGGTTAAGGTCATCTTCAGTCTCACTTTCGCTTGTGTCATTCAATGCCTTCTTTATTTCGTCTTCAATTTCAACAGCACTCTGAAGTTTTTCATCAACAGCTAATTTGTTGTAAACTATATCGATATTGGAATTGTAGTTGCCTCCGCAGCAAAAATTTGAGCACCTTTTAAAAATACAAGCTAAAAAATAGTAAAGACAAATAAACGAAATGACAAACAAAATTACAGAGAGAGCTATGTTCACTTTATATTGCCAATATACGTTTTCTATCTGTGGTAATACTGTTATTGGATAGCAGTAAAGTTTCAATTCGACATCCGATTGGTTCACTAGCCGAGCGTCGTTTAAACAAGAGGAACATTGGCTGTTGAGAGGACCCGTGCAAGTGGCACATGTGTAATGACATTGAAGACAAACTAATGGTGTAGATTGCTGCTCCGCTGGCTCTAAGTCTAGAGCTTCAAACGCAGTGGGCTTAGGCTCGACGAAATCCTGCATTTTTTGAATAGCGGTCCCACCGATTTCTGTGTAAGTAAGGTTACGCTTCCTCGATTTCCTCTCAGTCAGAACTTCGCTGGGGTACGTGCCTTCTGGACAACGTTCGTAGCATCGACCGTCGAACAAGTGTAAACCCTTCGCGCATTCTAGTAAAAGAAGAGAACAAATTATTTTTAATTATAAGAACAAATAAGTCGGTCTGCCACCACCTAGCAGTATTCCAGCGTCCATGCAGTTGCGAGATCTTGGTAGCGCACCAATGAGGCGTTTGCGTCGCACGAAGAGACTCGAAGTCTGGTTGCACTTACAGATGTGACACGAGTATAATGAGGAAAAGGACAGGTATATAGAATCTTGTCGCTGATCTCAAATAATTTTGCTGATAATAAATTAAAAAAGAAGACACCAAAACATACAAGACAAAAACTATGGTGATGTTGGACATGCCCATAAGAGAGACGTGCACAAAATTAAATGAAATCAGGAATCTTATAAAGAGTTAATAGAAAAAAAAACGTGTCACATGCTCTTTGATAGTTAAGTATATAAATAAATGAAAAGACATTGATTGATTAATTGTGGCATAAAACTTAAAATTGTGAGAAGCTCAAGAGGCGATTTATGAGTAAGTGTAATAAAGCATATAAAGCCAAGCATACATGCAACAAAACAAAGTTATTAACTAGTCGTTATTTTACAAAACAATTAATTATAACAGTACTAAGAAACACAATTAAAAAAAAACATGTGTCTAACTGCTACATAATCGTGTTTGACATCAGAGACAAGACTCATAGATAATTTACATTGTTACAAATGAAAATCTGTATAATTTTGTAATAAAAGATTGTTTTTATTATTTCCTTCCATTAGATTCCATATATACAAATTATGCATCAACATTTATAAATACAATTCATTAGATCGCTACTTAACGTCAAATTGGTGATCAATTTTACATTTATACAACAAAATTGTTATAAAAATGAGCATTATCGCGGCCTTTTACATCTTATGGCTCATGTTAAATTATGTATACAACATGTCAAATATCTATTTTACTCTTGGCAGAAATATAAAATGGCAGATTGACATATTGTGTACATTGTGTACACCAACAGTATTATAAGTAGACAATTTTTACACTAAATCGATCACATCCACCTATTCTATCAGATTGGAACACAAACGCATCCAGGTGGAATACAGAAGTACATATTTTAATTAACTTTAAACCTACCATCGTCATAATTACGCTCAATACTTTTTAACTACCAGTCGATGAGAAATCGTGATCGTTCAGTCGTTTTCAATTTACATTTTCGTGAGCAAATTTGTACAAGTCTCAAAATTTATTTATATAGCTAATGATGTAATAGCTAGGTACTTATTTTTATATACAGATATTTAATATTATGAATTATGTAAACTTATACTAATACGGATTGGCAATCTTTGCTATGATCACAACCACAATATGCATTTTTTATGTCTACGAGTTATAGAGACATGAAACTAGAAAAGTATTTAAGGCCCTGCGTAGACGAGTCTCTAGTTTCGGCAACTGGTAATAAACAATGCTTATGGCTTATTTATACTCGTATTTCATGCGATTTCAAAAATTGACGCAAATGTAAAAATTATAGTAATGAGTCTTTATTATTGAAATTCTTTATAATAGCTACCGGTAATAAAAATCAATTGTAAGTTATCGAAAATAGTAACATACTTTTTCCAGTTTTATCTAGTTATTCAATATTCCAAAGTTATAGTTGCAGTAACCCTAACCTAGGTCTTAGTACTTTCTTGTTGCTACACCGGACAACCATTAATGACAATTTATTTATATTTGATGTTCGTGTCAACTAAAGTAGCTACGTCTGCACAGTGCCTTATTTTACAAGGTTCATATATTTTGATATGGTAAATGTGACTCTTCGAGATATATTTTGTGACTAACTAATTGAAATAAATAAACTAGGCTCTTTTCAGTTCTTAAGTAATCATACTTAAGTATTTGGCTTCTAGATATTGTATGTTTAAATTAATTTAGAAAAAATATCGCTTTGTAAATTTTTATTTACTCCTTACTTTTTATAAGTACATTAGTGGTAATTATCATACTTTTAATTTAGCTATAATAAACAAAACTGTTATAAAGCTTTTAATGTAATTGTGAAAATTAAAGAACGATAAAAAGTATATTTAAGTACACCATCAAACATCAAAGAACAGCGGCCAAATATAATTAATCGAAACATAATTAATATAAGTACTCTTTTCAATCAAAAATAATTCACTCGATCACTTTGAATGGCAAAAAAAATGAAACATCTGCTAACAGAGTTCATTAGCGAATGTAACGGTTACTGCGTTACCTATCTATATTACGGTTCTGCAATTGGAAAAGCCAATTCAGGGAATGAAACCAACTGTACGCTGCGTTACGTTAAACAGTGGCTACCACAATTGACTATGGGAGCAAAGCAAGCCCTGGGGAAATTAAAACTGCTTTGGACCTAGTAACGAATTTAATCAGAAGTTAAGCAGCTGCCCGCTTCGGTATCTCCATGATGTTCCTGAATTAATATTAATTAAAAAGAATCCAATTGAGGTATATATAGATACTTATCTTTTTGATGAAATATAAGTATTATAATTAGCTTAAAACGATCATGTTAATAAGGTAATGGCTTGAGGAGAGCTTTGTAACACAAATTGCCAACACGATTAATCGTATCAATTAGATTCTATATTAATATGTAAAATATACTAATTTGTTATGTAGAAAACCGACAATGGAGAATCTAAATAAGAATGTAAATTGGACAAGCAGGTTTGTGTCATAACTATTGAATTACATACAACTGCAGTTGAATCATATTTAAGCGATTTTTAACTTGGAGATACCGTGTACTTGGGGCTTGGCATTGATTTTGCTTGACGTATCAACTTTGGCTAGTCTATATAAATATCATAAAGAAAGATTGGATTGTTTGCATCGAATGGGCCCCGACACCATTGGCCCGATTTTAAAAATTCTTTCACCTACGAATAACTACATCATACAGGATTGACATAGACTTAAAATTACGCGCGTGAAATCTCGGGAAAACAGCTAGTAAGTAAGAAAATCAGCATGAATTTCACGTCAAGGAAATTGTGACCTAAGTTATTAGAAAACTCTTTTTTCAGTCACATATACCATATAAGAAACTCATTATAAACGGTAACTATTTAACATCGGAACTTATTGTAACAGATATGTATTCCATAAACATTATACAGTTTAACGTATTCGCAAAAAAAAATGTTATTTACCAGAAATTGATTAGTAATGCTTTTATCTACATGTAAATTAATTATCGCCAATACCTTAAATAATTGATCTATCTAAACTTTAACTATATTAATAAATAATTATAAATAAATTAAAACACTTGAATGTTTAAATAAATGCGCTATGATTTGGTATATTTTGTTTAATTAAGCTGCAAAATAAGGCTGTCAAAGTTCTATGATAGTTGTTCAATGCAATGTTTTCATCTTTAAAAAGGAATGAGCTAATGTATAATTTAAAACTACACGAAGTAAAAAAATCTAAAAACAAATGTTCTATTATAGTTGGACGAAAAGATTTTCTATGACGACTTAGGGCTTTAGACATTTTTTTTGTCGCAGCTAAGTGGTATAAACAGCCGACCAATTGGGCGACTAGCTCTTTAATTGGTCGGCTGATTATACCAATTTGCTGCGACATTTTTTATATCGAAATAAATATTTGATTGCCATTTAACAAAGTAACTAACTTTGAATAAAACTTGCATTTGTTCTAATTATTGTTGTAAACTAAAGTTAAAGATGGATTTTTAAATAGAAATAATATTATTTTATAAATCCAAAATAATAGCTGTCAGCGAAAACACTGGAGGCACATTAAAAAGAAGCTTGGTGAAATTTTGTTGATACAAAGTAATTCTATGGTTTGTCAGATTAGGTAACGGTGCCAATTATATTTAATACTTTCTAAAGTAATCCAAAAAGTTATTAATTAGTTTTAATGTTATTCCAGAGTCATATATAACCAAAAAATATAAATATACTCCTGCATACTATAGTACAATTACTTTATTTTTTTTGAAGAAAAGTGCTTAAAAACTCAACAATTCCAGGTAACCACGATGGTGGAGATATATCTGGTACTAATAAGTTTTTAAGTATTTTTATTTTAGATAAATATCGATATAATATTAATATCTGTTATTTTCAGAATTAAAAACGTTGTCAGGCTAAGCTTAAATTTAGTTTGTGCAACAAAATTGCTACCGTTATTATTTTCTTTTAAATACAATACCTTTTTTATAAACATCAGTGTTTAAACAAATAATCTCAGTATCGAAGAAACACAATCATTTGGCTGAATTATGAAATTTTCTATTAAAAAGACAAAGTAAAAAACGAAACACCGTTCTTCAATGTTTCCAGAAGAATATTGTTATTCTATGTATAAATGCCGATACCGAATCATGGCTTTGGATTTCTTGAAGTGTTCGCTTCATGTGTAATAAAATAACATAATAGTATCTCTGACATAGTAAATTTAGTATTAGCTTGAATAATAATAACGAAACTTCAGTTACAAAACTGTCTGATATAATTGTAAAATTTAATTTTTATATTTAAAAACCACTATAAAGTACGTATTCAAGATGCAATTTACGTTCAAAATGGACGTTATGATGTACTCGTAAATTTATTTACTATGTAAGTAATTGCACTTTTTTGGCTTCTCAATGCCTTATGCCAATTAATTAGTGAATCAAATTTTATAATTTTAAATTTGCTATCTGTGTTTGCATGATAAATATTTCACCATGAAATTCGACCAACCAAAATATACTAAATATACTCATAAAATAAGGTTACATGAAAATATATGGGGCACAAGTTTTTAAATTCCAAAGAAACTTATTACAGACATAATCCAAGCTTTGCTCCAACATTTGTCAAATGTGTCCAATATCCAAGAAAATTGGGGCTTTATCTAAAAATATCTGTTGAATATTACCGTTCCCCATGCGAAAAATGTGAGGGGTCAAAATTAAGCTGAGTTAATGGGGACAAAGAGAATTGCGTGCGGGGGTGTGACGGTGAAATCTCGGAGTGCAGTTACGCCAATATTACATTTAGCAAAATGAAAAAAGAAGTACCTATAGAAACCTGCAGTATTTGGTAACTTAAATAAATATATTTTGAACATTACCTAAATATTGAATTATTGAATTTTCATAAATATTTAAGTAATATAGCAACGAATATAATAAATCTTGGAGGCATTCGATGAACATGCTAATGAATTTTTTATAAATTTTTAATCAAGTGTTACACCATTCCTTACCTAATTTGATGTTTAACGACACACGTATATAATACGCGCGTAATTCTGGACAGGGTTAGCGAAAATTTACGGGCTCTAATTTTTTTTAGTTATGAAGTTTTAAATAAACCCATTATATTAAACGAAGAAAATATTTCACTTCAAATACTCGATGGCTTTTATATAGATTGAATTGTATTGAAATGAATGGACCAGTTTGTTTAGCAAAATTGTATAAAGTGCACTCAAAGAGAAAGTATAAATTGCTTTTACATGCGTTTGAAAAGCTGAATAAATGGAAACTGGCATGTTTCGTGTAATTTTCGATTTTGCAAACTGAACAAACTGAAAACTTATTTTCATTCGTCGATAAGTTCCGCATTCCTTTAGGTAATAATTTCGTACAAACACAGATAGCATGGAATGTCAGGCAAATTCTATTAAATATGACTGTTGCATAACTTGCTAAAACTATAAAGAGAAGATTGAATATCGATCTATGATTATGTAAAAATATTTTTATATATGAATAGCAGATAAAATAAATAACAATAAAGGAAATTCATGCGCAAATAAAATGTAGTGTGATCAATAAATTAATTATCGCTTATAATTTAATAAAACCATTTCTTATATATGAAATAACCTAAAATAATCTGACGAATACTTTTAGCATGTAATATCAATATTTGCATTCCAGCTGAAATTCATTAAACTCGATATTTTCGATGGAATGATATTTTCATAATATTTTTAAGGAAGCCGCCTTTGTGTAACCTAATTGCTTATTGGAAATATAAAAAAAAAACATAAACTGAAAATCATTCGAGTTCTTAATTACCTACATATTATTTTCTAATTTCAGTGATGCGCCATATTCTAAGAGCCATATCTCATAAGTTATAAGAGAGTGGGATAAATAATTTTAAGGGTAGGTACACAAACTTCCAAAAACTTGAGAGTATTACGAGTGTTGCGTCATCTGAATACAGATGTGTATTATACCCCATAACCCGTTTAGTCTTCAGAAGCGGACTGTTACCACACAAATGTGATCGGGTGATTCTTATTGCTGACAAGTTTTTGAGAAATAGTCTACTTCTATAGTCCAGCTATATATATATATATATATATATATATATATATATATATATATATATATATATATATTTTATATATATATCTAGTTATCATCATCAGCCCTTTTATGTCTCCACTGCAAGGGCTCAGGCCTTCCTTATGGATGGTAAAGGAGGATAATAACGACTGCAAATGCAGCTGAGACCAACGACTTGACGCGCCTTCCAAAGTACGGAGTAGCTTGAAATAATAACTTTTGGTTACCCATTATAACCGACTAATGCGAAAATTGCTTAACATTATGCCACCAAGTTATTCTATATATTCTATTAAAAACGACTTCGAACTTGTTGATGAACGCAGCACTGTAACAGATTATGACAGCATAGAGGTCTTCAATGAAGTAAAACTTTTATTATCTTTACAAGTAGGTAGGTTATATTTGTTTGTACCTCTACGTTATGACAACGCTTCGCGCATTGTTGTGTTCGAAGCTTTTGAAACAGAATAGTATTGCTAGTCTTCCTAGAGGATATAACAAATTGGCAATATCGCCAAAGAACAGCTAAGGTAACTCTTCCATATAGTTTAAAATCAGTTGTTGCCTATGGTTTTCAAAGGGAACAATGTGTTTTTTTTTTTCACGGTAAAATATGTTTATATTTTACCATGACACCATGTCTGGATTTTTTGTAAAAAAATCATACTAACTTTTTAATTTATAATGGTAAACAAATAATGATATACGTATTTCCTTATTAAATATATGGCTCTTAGAACATATTTAAAAGAATTCAATGCAAAATCTTTACTGATATAAAGTGACGTAAATAAAATAGACAGTTTATTATTAACAGATTGTACTTAATTTTAAATTGGTATATTTAATTAAATCACATGCCGCAATATAATGCAACTTGATACCGTAAAAGCAACACTAAAAGATCGGCTCCCATAAATGTAGAATTTTTGACATTTATTGTAATGTTCTAAAGTTTTTATGCATTGGAAATTGGTCAAAAACTACATTTTTGGGTTACGATTGCCACTTAGAAATACGATTTATAATTTTTCTGAAAGGCAGAATCGAAAAGAAGATTTTTGTTAGTAGGAAGACACAAATTTTGTAGATAAAAAAGACAAAATATATTTTTGCCTACTTATTTTTAATAAGCATTTCTAACGTATACATTTAACCGTTGCTATTATAAAAACTACCCTATTTTAATATTAAATTAAAGTTGCTGAATGTTTGTTTGGGGTCGCAAAATAAATCAATATTTGCAATTGCAATGATTCTACTTTCCATGAGTTGTTTACCTACCATCAATTTACCTATAAATCTTAAAATCATAACCCACAAATTACTGATTTTCAAGAACACACGAAATAATAGATTGACCAAAAATATATAAGGTATAAACCTCTAAAAATCGACTTCGAATTTATTATAAGCTCAGCTTTACGGTATTATGGATCCTCATACTGGAAAATTAATAGTTTCGAGAGTTTGTACGTAGGGAATAACTGCAGGGGCATCAGATGTGGTATTAAGTATCACTAGACATTTGGTAGCGAATATACTTATATCCTTAATACCCCCTCAAAGCGACGGGATTTAAGAGGGTTCTTTTTCGATCTCATCTCATTTATAATGTTTCCTCGTTCTATTATAAATGACCTTCATCAAATTGTCAGCAATATCATATATTTACAGTATTTTTTCAAACATACGTATATAGTGATATTTTAAAAAAATATTAATCTAATGTAAATATTTTGTGCAAACATAATTGTGCTCATGAAAATACTTGAAGCAAGATTTAAAGAATTCTACGTACATACTTAAAAATCACAGACAGTTCAATAATAAGTGGCTAATAAACTATTAAATCACATCATACATTTGAAATAAATATGAAGTTAACACTGACATATCGATATCGTTTAAATATACTATACTCAATATTAGATTTAAAAACTACAGTGATTGAGTATGAGTTTTTTTTTCGATTCTGCCTATTCAATAAGCTAACTGAATTCTACACATTTATTGTTGACCATTAAAACATATGAAACGCAACGTTTTATTCTCACAAAATGGAACCACGTTGACATCAGACAGTCGAGATTGAATTATTACCCGTAGTATATTAAACTAATTTACATAAACATTTAGATGCTCGGATACTTCATGTAAGAAAGGTTTGTTATCTTGTCAACGTAGCGCCATCTTTTGAGAAACATATTGAACTACAACAGAATTTGGAATCGTAGTGTTGTCATTGCCACATTCAAAAACAATCCATTCAGCGTAACTAGTGGACTCGGTCGAACTACTGCACTTGTAAGCACGGTGCCCTCGACGGTCTCGAGTTTGCGACTGGAGAACTTAAATCTAAACTTAGACTAGCAGTTAGCACACAGTCGCATCTTAACCTACATGGTTTTGCCTTTCGGCATTGTTTAGTTCTATTAGGTCGTGTATAAGTAAAGGCGTCTGCGGTCGATAGTAGTAACAGGAGCAAGAGGCACAAACCTAGGCAGCGGTGGGGAGCTTTCTGTGCGTGGGATGTGCAAGCGCCGTTGCCTGCATATTGCTGACCAGCGACGCCTGGATCGCTCGCGTCCAATGATGGTATGCTCTCTTCCCGAATCTAAGTAAAGAGAAATAGTAACTTATTTGTATATGTAATGCACTACTTAGTTAATGTACGAGTTTCGAAACAATAAGGTCGATGATTTTCCTAAAATTGACCGGTGAATGTTGTGAATAGTGAATGAGTAATCGTATTTCAAAAAAGAAGTCAAATAGTAAACATAGAAATCAAAAAATATAAAATTTACTAAACTAGATAGCTTGCTTTATGATAATTAGTGTTGTGTGAAACATTTCATTTTTTTTTTATAAATACACTTCAAAATTATAAAGCATTTTCTATTATACAGACATTTTTCTACAATAATAAAGTTGGTTAACAACATTTTTAATGGTTATGTTTCAAGAATAGCAAATTACCAATATTACAAGATATTCGTATTAACTTTTGGAACGGTGTAAGTATATCTTAAGGAATATCTGCCGTATATTAGTGACCGCGTAACGTATGAACTGACAAATATATAAAACTAGCTTCCACCAACGACTTCCACTAAAGAGTTAAATTTTGAAAGGAACCCCTGTACTGAATTTCAAGTTTTTAGGTACAGTAGTTTCGGCTGTACGTTTATAAATAAGACAATTAGGTTTCCCTTATATATATATTCATTTTATCACACTCGATGATACGTCAGTCCATCGTGAATGGATATTCCGTCAGATATGCTCCAACCCTTATCGACATCGGGTTATATAATCTAAATTCATCTACTTCACTTACTTTTTTTATATTATTTACAACCTAGAGGTTATAGTTTTCTAAATAAATTGTACGATAATACCATTATACCCATAAAATAGAACTTGACTGTATTAGTACAACACATAAACATTTTATTATTAATATCTATCTAAAATTTCCTATAAAACATTTTATTAAAAAACATAATGTTTTATATATGTTTCGTACCAATAATCCGCTTACAGCCCTCAGGAAAATTGAAAGATCTATATCGGATAACAATAAGGCATTAATATTTTATTGAAAATATCACGAGCACAATATTGGGATATTCGTTTGCAATAAGAGGGCCAATAATGTTGCTACTACAATTTTAACACGCGAAAAAGTTTTTTGTCCTTTGATTGATGACGCAAACTCTGAGAAGGGTCTTCAGGACATGAAATAATTCTCGGGTGATATGTATCACGACATTACGACAAAGAAGATTTCCTCACAATATGGGTAAAGTCTAAGAAAAGGTTCAGTTTGTCAACAAAGACGTCTAGACAAGTCGTCCGAGCGGTAATCCCAAATTTGACATTATATTGGATCTGGTTAAAATCCGCGCTTAGCAACACACTATCACACAAGCAGTATTGAAAAAAACTGGCCAAGTGAGAGTTGGAATCGCTTCAATTAGGGTACCTTACGTTATTTAATTTATCTACACGGTTTATAGTGTATCTGTGTAATAGATTATTCTACTCCGTTTGAAATAATATTTGTAAATGTTTATTTTATTTTTAAAAAGCCATAAAACAAATATTTTCAAAAATAAATACGTTTTCTTGCCTCAATATTAAATCAAAATTTGAACTTGTTTTCTACCCGCAAAAACGCTGTCCATCATATTCATAACGTCACTGTGATATGTACAAAGAACAGATGCACATAGTAGAAGATGAAATGATGTCAAGAAAAAACAAGAACAATGCCATCTAACGATCGATTAACAAACAAAAAGATATAAATAAGCAAAGAGCTATCTAGGAATTTGATTATAATTAGTAGATATATCTTTAATCTGATAGTTGTCATCACAGTGACGTCACACAATGGCGGGATTTGTTTCAAGTCACGTCACATACATATAAAAAATTAAATTTAAAGATAATAAGATAATCGTGCGATTTTAAGACTCACGATCAGAATCCCTATGTTTATAAGTATGTAAATTTTTGTTTTTATGCAATTTCATAACTTATTTTTCACTATCGAAATTACCCTATTGTAATTTCTAATCAAGTAACTTCAGACCTTCACAGTTGCCCATTTTATCGAAATTCACTTGGATTTTATTTTATTTGTTGAAGACCGATTTCATATTAGTAATTCATGTTACGTAATCTTGCTACATAATATTGATTGACGTTTCACTGCATATAGTTTTAATTGCTTCAAGGGTGATTTAACATTTCAACGATTCGTGAAATAGTTTGGGAATTCCTGCATTCGTACTGCCGATCGCATGGATATAGCGTAGACCGCCAATTAGAGTAAAATTGCTAGAACTTTGGTATTTCGAATTGAATTGAAAGTTTTTATATGTATTTATTTTTATGATAGGTTTTGTAAAAAAATTTTCGACATTATATTTCGTTTTGACAGCTTGTGATGTAATTTATGGTGGATAATATTTGAATCACGTATATTTTAAAAATATGATTTTTTCCTAGCTTTCCGCCAGTGGCTTCGGATGCGTGGTCCCGTATAAGACGAAATGAACCTGTCTCTTGTATCACTCTGCAAATTGATGAAACGATTTTAAAATATGTTATAAATTTAAAAGATCTTAGCGTACAGACAGTAGGAAGCTATTATGTTTTATACTCTCCATAGATTCATTTATTTATCATGTAAATGTATTTCATAGGTCATAATTGCGATGCCCAAGTTTAAATATCAGAATAAGAATGTTTTGATCAATCATTTTAAATGAACACTATAACAGCTGAGTATTATTAATCATAAATTAATATTTGTATATTATTATAACTTGTATTAATATTATAACTTGTAAGATCTATTAAGGTTCCATCTATTATAATGTAGGGCGTCGCAATTTCATAAGTGAATATTGCCGACTATAGTCATGTCATATTACTCTTAGAACTAAGTTACGTAAGTTATAGTAATTACTTTTGTTGACTTTGACGTCGTATCGACATTCTCACTAAACGTTTAAGCCAAAAATTGACATCCTTTTATAGCGAGATGTAGGTATGTAAACATTGATAACTCTTATTGAATAAATATTTAAAGCACTCAACCTAGTATATAAACATAATTTCTGAAATGCCATCAAATGTAAAAACATTTCCTTATTCATCTCCTGTCATTATTAATAAAGTTAATAGTAAAAGAAACCAGTGTGAATTTATTTTTGTCTAATATGTATGTGTTTAGTATAATATCATCTCAATAATATTTAGTTCTTAATTTTTACTATTACTTGTATAAAGCACGACTACAACTCAATCACTATCCATATTTGTCGTAATCGGATCCTACTGATTCGAGTTTTTGGTTTTATGTCAAATTTATTGGCAGCATTTCGCAAAATAAAAAAATTTACTTAGATGACCTATATCAACGATAAGTAAAAGTTAGTGTATTTTTACTAAAGGTACAAAAATATATATAAATATCACTAAATAAAAATAAAATATTTATTAAGTTAAATTATATGTATTGAGAGCGCAACTACAACAACCACAAAGAATATTGTATTTAAGTTTTCATTTTATATAATAATAAAATAAAAAAGAAGTAATAAATAATTTTTAACGATTTTTTTTTTGCAAGTTATTAAATGATAACCGACCGACTTCAATAGCAGTTTCTAAAATAATTAAATCGCTTTTAAGACAACTTTTATTTCTCCCTTTTTAAAAGCTTAAAACCGATTGTACTTTGCAAAGTACTTTTACAGTAATCATAATGGTTTCGGTAATTTTGACGCGCAAATGCCATCTTGGATCTCTACTTCTTCGTAGATTTGACTCCTTTTGTCTTTACGTTCTAACTCGTTGTCAAACAAATGCTGTCTTACCATAACAGTTCAACATAATAAAACCTACTTCGAAAGGAAATAAAGGTTTTATTTCATTGAAACTTTATGACATGACAGCGCTGTGTTCAACGAGTTGCATACCTTTTCAATAATATAGCATAGCAGACATAATTCAAACTTACCGTGTGAGAATCATGCCATACTAATGCCAGGTCGTCATCGATGGCGTTCTGCTTGACTTCTTCAACAGACTGGGGCTCGTTGGGAATATTCCATGATGTGACCGCGGATATCTGGTTAGGTACCAACGCGTTAGTTTCAGGTGACGCGTCGAACTCTTGCGGTGGTGTTTCAGTACCGTAGAATATCAGCTCCCATTGAGATAACGGTCCGGCTGTGCACAAAAATATTTTGCTCAAGTGTTTGTGTTTCGCAAATCATCAAAATAATATTTAAAACAATAATTATTTAAAATAAAGTCTAAAGATATAATTGTATATAATTAAAATACAAATAAATGTTTCTAAAACATCTTAAATACGAGTTTTTATCAAACATTACTGTAACTAGATAATTTAAAATTAACATGTCAACATTCTATAATAGTGATTATGAATAATGAGAAATATATCGATGTGTGTTTAAAATGATGACTTACAAAAACTTGTTACTAAACTTTAAAAAAATAACGAAGCGCAGGAACTTACGTCAAAAAAAAATATACACCACGATAGCAAAATATAATTCGTTTACGCTACGAAAGTTAATTGCAACTGAAAAAAAACTGTTACCGAACGAAACCAGTGATGTTTGGAATGAACTTCAACTACAAAAATAAATTAACGATGCAAACACACGGCAACATGCAAAAGAGTCCGAGCCAAGAGTAAATTGACGTGCGGGCTCAAACTAGGCGGACCAAATAAAAACGAAACGCCTCTACGAACATATACAACTCATGCATCCTCAATACAGCAATACCGTTGGCCTGCAGCGGCGCGGGGTATATCCGTTGGATTTTCGGATATTGCTCGAAGAGGCTGGACATCTTACGGCCTCTGGGATCCGGTAACGGATCCGAAATGTCCCCCCGCAAGTTGAGACTCAAATCCGGCGCTGACGTGGTCGTAGTCTTCGTTGTGCTTTCTATAGGGGACCGGGTGGCGGGGCGACTCTGTTTAGATTTCTGCGAATTCCTATTTGGATTCTTTGAATTTTTATTCTTTTTCCTCTTCACTAAGCCAACGGTGTAGGTGGGGACGATGGAGACAGCTTTGCCCCGGCTATTTTTCCGCCCCGTTTGGACCACTACGGGCCGCGTCACATTGCTCTTGTTCCGTACAGTAATCGGATTTCGGAACGGCACAGGATCATTTTTAGTTGCCGGCGTACTAGTTCCGTATAAGGTTAAAAACCAATCTTGTAATGTCGCTCGACCTAATGAATCGAAATAGCACTTTCTTATATGTATATCTTTAATAATATTTTACGTGCAATATTAATATATTGTTGCTTTATATTGATAATGTCGTTAAGATTACGCTTATTAGTACAATCAGTCATATAAGCAAACTTATTAGGATTACTTCCTCAATAACCGAGATGATCTATCCGTGTCATGAGGGATCAGATGTAATATTTTATGCTTATTCTAGATCATTGCTTCATAAGAAAATACAAATTTAGGGTTTCAAATAGGATTACCATTAGTATGATGCGGCTATACTTTATTTTATTTAACTTACCACTATATCTGCCTTCGTTTGATACTTCCAGTTGCCAGACTCCTAACGGGGACTCCCCCCACATATGCACTGACATAAAAGGCCATGAGTTGAATCCCGCTCTTGAGGAGTCGTGCGCTCTGAAAGTCAAATAGTTATTTACATACCTCTATTTAGGTTCAACACCACAGTTATTTATCAGTACAAAAACTCTATTGGCGAAAAAACATGAAGGTATAAAAAAAAAATATTTTATAACGATACGATACCTACCACCAGCAACCTAGCTTTAAACGTAGATGTCAAAATATCGTTTTTGTATAAATAAAAAAATAGTACCTTCCTTTACTGAATGGCAGAATTTGATTGACAAGGTATTTTAAAATTTCAAAAGGATTATTGAATACATCAAGAATATTATGATATAAGCAGAAAATTTATAAAAATATAGACAATAGAGTATTACGAAAGTTGATAATGTTTAATACCATCTCCTAGTAATTTTCGAGTCCCTTTACATTATCCATAATTTTTATGATGAAAATAAAAAAATTAAACTTTACGAATTTACCCAAAATCGTTTATATAACGTTGAGCCACGGTAGATTAAGCTAATTTAAATACTGATGGTAGCTCATTCAAAACTATCGATAATGTTCCAGTCATGATAAGGGCAGCCACTAACAACATAGGCCTAATTGTTACACCAAACTCCGACGAACTTACATCCTAAATATTAAAATATGACGTCAGCGCTCCCAAACTGACTAACCATCTAACATACTCCGTAACATGCCCTGATGTTAAAAGTAAGTGAACCCAGAATGTTCGGACCGGACAAGTTAAGTAATTATGCACCAAGAAACTTCACGCCAAACTCACATTGTTCCTATTTCCCAGTCGTCTATTGTTGTGGCTGAAATATCTCTAGTTTTATATTGCTACAGTGAACTGAGCTCAGTTTTAAAAGCTATATTCGACGTTTTGCAAGTTGTATTATAAGTCGAAACAGCTGTGAGGTGCATACACAATTTCAGCAGTGTTTGTGGTGTACGCGTATAGTAGAGAACTACTATGGAAATAACGATTTGTGGCAGCAGAAAATTTTACGTGCGCTTCATGATGAAAAAAAAAGATTCATGGCGCGAATTTGTAAAAGGCATAAGGTAGCAGTTTATTTTAATATTTAAAATAAATGAAATAATAAGGTGTGTGGATCGTATACAAGAAAAGTGTTCAGTGAATTAAGCACGCGAACGCGAACGAGTCATCTCTTTCCTATGGACTTCCCTGCAATCCTACATCTTTTGATTGCCTTAAAAACATACCAAAACAATAAAAAAAGTACTAAAACATCTAAAAACAACGTTGGTGAAAATAGAGGATTAAAGTTCCGGAAGACTTGGCTGTAGAAGCTAGATACCATTGCGTTTAATTCAACATGGAATAAAAATAATTGACTACATTCATACTAAGATGAATGATGATGTTTCCCAAAGAATAAATAAAAATAATTTCATTGTACTCTAGATGTACAATGAAATTATCAGAGGTATACTGTATCAACTGAGAGTTACCTTGGAGCTAGTAGAGTGACTTTTGTCCCGGCTGGTGACATCAAAGTGATGCGTATATCGCCTCGCCGCGCCGCTGATAGTGTGACACGAGCTTGCACGTGCTCTAAATAATTAACACCTGGACACGATCCTACATCCAGCTGCGATCAAAATCATAAGATATATGATAATCCAAAATACTTTGCGATACATTTTCAAATCATATTTTAATAAACTCCTTCAAATATTAAGCTAAAAATGTTCGATCTATATTCCCTGAACTACCTACAATATTTAAACGATAAAACTTTATTTTTTAATAAACAACGCTCGAGTGATACTACATTCGCAAGTAATCAAGCTTTGTGTATTTATTTGAATCACTTTACAATTGTCAAATATTTATAAAAGTTAAAAACACCCGTCTTATGATTAACAAGAGTAAAAGCAAAATCTTTTTATAGCAATTATATTACGATAATCATTATACCCAAATCGATTTCAATACAAATCTTGAGAAAAGATAAACAGTATTTATTAGTTTACTATAAGAAGGCTATAACTTCATGCATTATTTAAATGATAATCAACTTTAATGATAAATAAAATTCAATTATAGATTAATCCCTAGAATTGCCGTTGTCATGCCAAAATAATGCTGTAGATTAGATCATCGCATGCTTACCTGGAGCGTGACAGAAGATCTGGTAGGTATAAGCCGCTGCGACCTGGGCGCGGCTAGTTCACATCTCCTCTGAGGTGGAACAGTTCTCCAAGACCTGGCCAAGCGGACCATTCCGGCGGCGTCCAAGAGTCCGTATCCGAACGAGTGCGAAACGTTACGACCAACGCCGTTTACTCGCCACTCACCACCAAGACTCAACCTCTCTGGCTTTGCAGTCCGTACCACTATACAAATGTAAAATAAATAGAATTGAAGCAGCAGAAAGCATAGAAATAGAATTGAAGTTTGTTTCTTAACGTTTTTAATATTTGCTTTTGATTTTTCAGTATTTGATAGACTTTGAAGACAAGAAGGAAAATATTGGAAAATAAAGCAATGCGCCACAATAGACAACCACTGTTGTAACATTATTTCAGTCGACGAGTACTCGGGTTAATAGTTATGAAAGAGAATTTTCTTAGCAGAAACAGCACATAATTTATACTTTTCAGAAAATTCAAGTGAGTTTTCAAACTTAGTTTTCTCTTTAGAATAACTGTTTTTGTAAAGTACAATATCAATAGTTATGTTAAAAGAACCCTTAAGCAGGATTTTAATATTTTTAAACCTGTGGTAGTACTTCGATTTTAAATATCTTCGTTTTTTTATCAGGTACTAATTTCAAAGGCTATATGAAAATACATCTATCTACTTTACCATGAAAATTGCCGTAGCCCATAATACGAAATAGTCCTTAGTATAGTAGTTTTACAATACTCTAAGTATATTTATACTGTATCATAATGCTCCGAACGTTTTAATGTGTGTCGTCTCGTTTTATTGAACACGACAGAATACATTTTGCCTGTCAAGTTCTACGCTTTTCAAAATAATGGCTCTACGCCTTGAAGATACAAGTGGCCCACTGGCATAACATGCCATCTGAAGCACAGAGTAACTCAAGATTATTTATTCTGATCAGTCATTCGATGACCTTTATGAAACTTGATTTATGTTCTTAGTCACTGATTGAACGAACTAATCACAAATTACGAGCTTCTTGAAAATAGTGCATCACAACTTCAGTCTATAATATATTCTTAGTACAATGCAATGACGAAAATAAACGTAAAAATATTTAATAAACAAGATTTCAAAAAAAAAAAACTTAAAATAAGTTTAATTTATTCCAAAAAACTATTATAAACATCGGACGTGAACGATAATATTTAACTCGTACGAATTGACGTAACAAGACGTATTTATTTAGACTCGAATGAGAATTCGGAAAATTCCGAGTCGTTCTCATGTTATTAAAAACACTGTTATCTGACGATTATCATAAAAAATCTGATTCTTAGTTCATTTCGAAAATAGATGAAGATTCGTGTTCGAAGAAATTTAATAGGCTCTTAAGTGTCATGTTAATCGTACGAGTAGTACACATAAGTTTCAAATTTAGGTTTATTTAAGTACCCAACACTGTAGGTATACTTACCAATATGCTGCATATCTCTCCACGTTAGATCTCTGTTAGCCTGTAGTGCGAGCGCACAGATGCCAGCAGCTAGAGGTGCAGAAGCCGACGTGCCCGTATGCCCCGCAGTACAAAAATGATGGAGATCAGTCGTCACCACCTATTATTGTCACAACAATATGTTAATAGGGAAAAAGATAGACTACTACTGGTCGCACTAATGAGGAAGTATTTAAGGAAGTATTTACATTTGACATTTGATCAGTTTCGTGTTAATATACTTGTCTTTCAATATGAAGGTATTATCACATCACACATAATGTCCCCACCATTGGAGCTCAGGCCTTCTCTATGGATGGAATAGTATCAAATCAAATGGGGAGAATGGGCCATGACCCACCATGAGGGCTCCGTGCGGGTTGGTGGGTAGTTATAGGTAAAAATTTGGACACCCTATGACCTGTACCGTTGTTGTTAAATAATTTTCATTATGACGATACGTCGTAGAGTTCTATAGTTTCTCAATATGCTTTTGAATAACAGTCCATTTCGACCATTATATTAAATTTTTATTCAGCTGAATCGTTACATAAATAATTTGTTAAATAAGGTTTCATAAATAATTGATTGTATTGTTTATTAATACAACAAAGTTAAATATGTAAAGCGTTATAACTTCGAGAACAATATTATTTAAGTAACTTTAACTTGTTTTATACGTAAAAATTATGTCACTCACCCAACAGATCAACCATTTTATATCGATACACAAAATATTACAGAATTGAAAAAAAAGTAACGATAACACTTAGAATTTGTATTTTTGATTAGATGTTGTATACATAGCAATTTATATATATATTTTTTTAAGTTTATAATTGATTATTCTCCAAATATTTAAGTTTCATAATATTTGTAAAATCTATAAGAGGGGGTCCTCTATCTTGTTTTGATGAGTGGCCAATCTTAAATATGTTAAATATAAGCTTAGTGGCTAAGAAATTCAATAATAATATAGATGAAATATATTAGAAACACCAAGTCATAACATGGCGTCTATGGTCATGGCGTTCAAATATCATCCAGTTACTTAAGTTTATTTACATACAAAGGACCTCTTTTACCTACAAAAACATTCAACGATCGTAGATACAAATAAGCTGGTAACCTTTCTGTTACAATAACAGTAAAATGTAAAGAACCTAACTCTTCTATTAAGGGTTCCGTACGCAAAGGGCAAAATCGAGACCCAATTATTAAGACCGCCCGGGTTGCAAAAGGTTGTGAGTTCAAGTTCTCAGGTGGATTTTTAGGATTGTAAACGTAAAATTGATTAAATACATGTAATAATCACAAACTATTAAACTGAGTGAAGCTTATTTGACCGATTTCAACCCCCAACAGTCAGTATTCCACCAATTGAATAGTAACAGATCTTCCTGTCACTAAATTTTCATAATCAATGACAATGACAGTTTTCCAATCCTGTCATCTACATGATAGAATTATCAATAATTCCTTTCCCTCAACGTTTACTTCCTAATAAAATAGAATAACATTTTATTTCGTCAAGTTTGTTTTTCCAAAAATTTACCATTCATTTGCCAATAAAATTCTTTAACGGAAGGTAATGGGTGTCCATTAACGTCCATTACTGACAAATGAGTAACGTATGAATATTTTATGAGATGGATGTTCAAACAGTTGCATTTTATACTAGATATATGCAAAAGCTCGTTAGAAAAACTGCTTATTTCTAAGTGTTTTTAATAGAGTTTCCAACTAAAAGGTTGGAAAAATATAATGAGAACTGAATCGGTTATAGTTCCAGTGCATGAAAACATTTATGATTAAATAAGCTTATATATATAAAAGGTAATCATTCACTTTCAACTAAGTTTTGGTTAAAACAGTAAGTATACTTAATTTTTTCTAATATCGCAATTCGCATAAGGGCTGTATGACAGATCTTCGAATTTTCAATTACCCTTTAGCGCCTTTTTAACACGTCCACATATTTTTTTAGCTTTTCTGGTAAAAAATATGCAGGTTATATTCACAACGACATCGAAAACATATACACGCTCGTGTTACGATAATATTTCGCGGTATTGACGCAATTCGGTGAAATTCACACGTGAAAATAGGGACTTCGGTTTATCTGAATTATTGGTTAACGGTCGCTCCGTCCCGATTATTTTGGATGAACAGAAGTTTACTGTTACAATCATTATAAACGTACAGACAAACAATTTAAAATATTTCCACATATATATTTTTTCAAGTATACAAGGTATTGATTTGAAATTAAGAGTTTAAAATATTGTTATAGAGTTTAAATACAAAGTGGATTGCTGAATATCTGTTGCTGTACATACAAATATTATAAAGAAGAAATATTTGACTGTTTCTTTGCATTGAATAGGCACCAAAATTACTGAAGCGATAATGAAAATTCTTGTATATTACTTATACGCGAGTGAATGGCTATAATTTAAGCGGGCAAAGTTGCAGTAAAACGGCCAGTATTTTACAAATCTTTTTCACAACAGTTTATAAATCCTGTCCACACATATAAAAAACATTGTTGAAACACTGCAAAACTTAGAGAACTAGAACTTACAATGTATATATAGGTACCGAGTTACATATGTTTTCCGTTTTATTCAAAATGCATCTGAGACAATAGAAGAGAGAACAACTCTTTCGCATCAAGAGTCGTGAAGTCGTATACTCGTTAACAAGTACACAAACTTTTAACAAAGTGTTTTGTTACCAAAATCAAAATAAAAGTTGCGAAAGTCTTTTAAACTCTCGAAGGTAGAATTGCGAAATCTAGTACCGATTTATTATTTAAACAAAGGAATATAATTATAGTTAAAGGTTTTAAAACTAAAAAGAAATGTATAACTACCGAGTGCTGATCGTGTCTTTTAAAAACAAAACTTTCAAGTCCAAGTCGAACTTACACACGAAGATTTTATTCATACTAACGCTATTTAAATAAACGTTTTTCCTCTACCGCGCTGTTATCCTCTACCGCGTAACGAGTACATAATACGCGTTGGACATGGGCTATAATTTACACAAGTCGCGGGGAAACAGCTAGTTTGATAGAAATTGCTTCACAATTCGATAAGAAATCGATTGACATACCTACCTTCATAAAAAAATATACGTACTCCTTATACATAGAAAATCTTCCTTTCGGATTTTGAATGAATGCAAATACGCAATATTTTTTTATCTGTGATACATGAAATACAATACATATTATCTGGTATTTGTTTTGTTATACATATATGGTATTTGTTTTATTATAAAAGGAAAGCTGCTGATTTGATTTCGATAAAATTTAATTTAACCTTGGTCCATTGAGATGTAAAAATTTAATCAAAACTTGGCGGAAGTATCGATGAATATACATAAGAAAGACAAACATCGCCGTCGAACATCCTCCTTTTGGATTTTGAAGTCGATTAAAAATTAACTTTAAAGTAAATCAAACATTATCTCATTCTCAATTTACGTTAGCGACTTAAATTTTCTACCTGTTTCTCATTAATAGCCCCACTGCTGTAGGTAGCTGCAAGAGTTGAGCTGCACATCTCCGAGTACCACGGCACCTCGCCACGTTCCGTCGCTGAAGATATTGACAGGGTCCATATAGAGTTGGTATAGCCATCGCAGTTGCAATTGTCATGTTCCCTGCCACCGTTGCCTGAAGCCCAAACGAATATCGAACCTTTGCCGTTCCGTCCCTAGAACCAAAATTCATCATCAAACACCTACAATATATTTTAATATCCGTAAAATTTAAATACTGCCCTTGTAAACGAAGTAATTACTTTGGATGTAATGAAACGAGAGTAGATGCAGGTTAACGCCGTTAGTACAACGACGCAATCACAATCGAATACAAAACATGAAATGTTTCGTTTGTGCTTTGTCTCGCTCTTTTATTAGCGCAATTAAATATCTGCGTCCTTGTCAGTATGGTTTCGCTGTCAACTGCGAAAAAGCTCGTTCGTTACATAAACGCACAAGTTTCGCATTCAGGGTTGCCACCAATACCGACTTCCGATAACTATCCGTATATCACGTATTTTGTGTCTCAAAATTTTACAACTGAAAAGCTACGTTGTGGCTGCGGGTTAAAAATATGTGCTGATCTTACAATTTCTTTGAATTCGGTCTTACTAGTTGACAAATACCCACTACCTAGAATAGATGATTTATCGATGAAACTAAACGGTGTCCAGTGGTTTTCGATAGTTAGGCAAGGCCTATAATCTAATCGAATTAGAGGAATCTAAAAAACTAACGGTAATTTACACCCATAAAGGATTATATATATACAATATGTTGGTTTCTGGACTTTCTTAAAGTCCGGATATTTTTCAACGAATAATGTGTAAACTATTTTCTGTGAAACTATTAAGTGACTTTCCAGGCAGAGAAATATTTTTGGATGTCAAATAAAAAAAATTTTTTTAAACGGTTACGAAAACACGGCAAGAAACTAAAAAAAAAGAAATGTCCATTTTTAGATAACCATGTGATATATTAGGGGTATATTATACATAGGAATGGTATCGAAGTTAATAGCGAGAAAGTAGCTGCTATCACTAAAATTCCAAGGCCTCCAGGTTGTTTCCCAGTTGAGGTCCTTTTTGGGCTTAGTAAATTTTTATTGCTAAATTTATTTAAAATATTAGTCAAATTTTATATCCTCTTTACGCATTGTTAAAAAAAGGTGCAGCATGGAACTGGACACGAAATTGTGAGGATAACATTACAAAAAAAACTTTACCAGTACAGAGGTGTTGTGTTGATAAATTTTGATCCTCAAAAACCTTTGACCTTGACCTATGAGGAGAGTGCTAAAGACATTGGAGGCCTACTTTGTCAAACGGCCGACGCCGAACGTCGGACTGTGTGATGGAGACTCACAGATCGACACAGAAGCGTTAGATATCGTGTTTAATTTACAAAAATTACATCAATATTTATATGGCCGAAGATTTACTCTTAGAACAGACCACAAACCGTGGGGCCTAAATAAATAACCCTAAAATCTAAAATACCCGCGACGGCAGCCAGCCGTATGATAGATTATATTGTCTGCCTATACCTACGATAAAGAATACATAAACACTAAACAAAACGGTGCGGACGGTTTGCTAATATGGCCAGTAGGTATTAAATGCAGGTAGCACGAGTGACTGATCGCCCGATTTTCCGGAACAAACGTATTTGCATTTCGCACAGAATGAATTATTATTACACTATAATGTTATTCAGCAACAAACGACACATGATCCGTTATTAAGCAGAGTTTTAGTATAAGTATATTATGGAATGTTGGCTCAAAAATAACGATGTTAGAGAGTTGCAACAGAATTTAAATAGAAAAAAAAGGAATTGTATCAAGAATTAGGTTGCGTTATGTTGTCGAGTTATACCGGACCGGTGTAGGGATCGAGTTCTGAGTGAACTTTACCAAGCATACATGCAAAGATTTTTTCTAATTTACAAATAGTATACTTAGCTGCGGTATTAGGAACAGGATAAACTAACAATCATTTCATTCTAGCGTCAATTAATATTAAATATATTGTATCTTGAAAAGACCCTAAAAATGTAAATTAACCCGGGACCAAGGCTCAAGCCGGCCACGGCCACGGTATCTACGAATGCTGTTGCGGTACATCGGCCTCCGTCATCTGGCACACAATGGCCGGAAGTTTATCCTGTTCCTAGTACCGCAGCTAAGTATACTATTATATATTAAGTAGTAGAAGAAAAGACATACAAATTTCGCTTCACCCAAAATTAAATATTGTAAAACATTGTAGTCGATATCAGGCAGTCAAACTTTTTAACGCCCTGCCGACGGAGTTAAAAGCTATCGAAAGTCCTAATAAATTTAAAACTAAATTGAGGCAACTTCTATTAGACGGTTCTTTCTATACGCTGGAGGAGTTCTATGGTCAGTGCATCTTACCTAACGGATAATTAATAAAAACTACCATAATGTTTAAGTGTCTGCATGATTTTTATGTAATTTTATTTTGATTTGTTCTTGTACCATTCAAATACAATTGTAAAAAATTGTTAATGCTGTAATGCTGTATGAATTATAATAATAATAATAATAATAATAATATTTTTAAATTAGAAGAAATCTGCAAGATGGGTTACCTAGACAATTAGTTGCATAGTATCGGTTTGTAACTAAACAATAAAATAACATAAAACAATAACATAAGTCAATCTAAGCAATTACAAACAAAAGATAAAATCTATACCATGACTGATTCGCAAGTGCATATCCAGTATAAACCAAATATTCTAAATAATTATATCTAGGGTAAAATGACAATCTAATCGATGAAAATTTTACCATTCATAAATAAAACCTAAAGCAAAAGCAACACTTATAAAAAAACAAAAAGGTACTTCTAAGAATGATATGATGTCTTTTAAAAGTAAGCAATTTATTGATAAAAATATGAAGAATGCTTAACCACAAGATCATTTTATTTTAACTTTCCTATTAACAAAACACTCTTACATTAAATTATTCGGAAGTTGTATCAGTTTTGAATTCAGCGATTCCCAGAGCGGATATCCCTAAGTTGAACCTGTTTTAACTAATTTGAACTAAGTTAATTTTACAGGTAAGGTCCCTGCACGCTCCAATTCTACATCCCATCTTTCTTCTATCTTGCTTCTTAATCCTATTTCCACTGTGCACAAAGGCCATAAATCCAAAGGAAAGCTCAAAGAGGATTCCCTAAACAAGTTTAATTGGATAAGTCAACAATGTTATGTGAAAATTGCCGTCAAACATGGACCATACAATGCGTAAAGTACGAAATAATTGCGTCATTGCAGAAGTTACTTTATTACCTACTTTTAGACTGTTCTTGCAAGTTTTTTTATTCAACAAAATGACGAGACCGTTGTTAACAGTAGTAGTTTTACAACAGTAGTACTATAGCTAAAAGTATTCTGATGGGGTACTAACAAAGCCCAATTTCCACTGCAGGAGCAGAAGTGACAAATTAAAGTAGTGAACTTTATAGTCTCTTGTTGTGACTTTATTAAAGTTATACCTACCTTAGCTTGACTACAGTCGGCCGAAATAATGAAAGCATGATGTACTTTCTGAGTGGCTCTGTCGAGGATTGTTTAATAAAAAACATATTTGATACTCCTTTTGGTTGACAAATAAGTGCTTGAACACAATAGGTCCTTAAATATTCATATTAAGATCGATATTGCCATTTTACCAATGAGTTTAAAAGGTAATCAATGTAAGATTTCTTTATGTCAAATATAAAAATACATGATTGTGTAAGTATCATGTATCATTATGTATTAATTAGGTGGGTAAATAAACTCAAATCATAACTACTTAGTTTTCTAGAAAAACATTTCAAAAAAGCTATACCTATGAAGCTTTGCTTTATTTGAATATAGGTATAGCATGTCTTTGATAACTAATATGACACTTAAAAATCATGATTATGACTCAAATTGCATTAAATGGGATAGATGCTCTTAAGAGTATGTAACTTCACAAAGTAATTAGTGGCAAATACTTGCAATGAGGCACGGTTAGTTACAACCTCAGATTATAGAAAGTTTAGTAGTTAGATTAGAATAGGGTGCTGGGAAAATCTACCGGCGTACGTCAAATTTAACAATATTATACTGCGTCGTATGTGTGATATTAATGTATATTTCATAACCTATATTTCTATTGGCTTTTTTTTTAATTAGATTAAAGCGTTGTTAACATTTTGGTATTCTAGTAAAATAAATTCTTTCAGATCAATCAATTCCTTCATTTTTTTCAAAAAAAGAAAGTAACATCTGCGTAATCAGTTCTTCCCAAACAACGATTTCACATTTAAATACGAAAAGTATCTATCAATTTTCTTTCCATTATTCTAAAGAATCAAATGTTAGTTTTAGAACTACATAAGTTTTTCTATGTATTAATCAGTAAAACTACATTTTAATCAAATATAATTACAATATACATGGTCTAAACTAACTCGTTTCGTGTATTAGCTTTTTGCCTTTTGTGAATAGATAATATAGATTAGAAAACAAATAACAAAACATTATTAATTAAATTGGTAATTTAATAAAAGCGATATTATGTACCTTAGTGACTCCTTCAATAAAGGCTCTTGTAGCCAACTCTCCTGGTCCATCGACAGTCTTTCCATCATCGTCAGGTCCCCAAGACGCGCTATAAATATCCACATGCTGAGGGTTGAGACTCAAAGACCTGGCTTCGACCGCGTCTGTGACGTCACCATCCAACATACGAACACCTAAAACATAAAATGCTTTAGTGGTATCCTTTTATTTATTTTATATTAATTGTAAAATAAAACTGCTAGTTCCTCACTTACTTATTTAAATTCCTAATTCCTACTCTTAAAATTAACCCGAGTTACTACATTAATTACTAGTTAGTAAAAGTTTGCAAAAGTTAGGAGCAAATTTAAATATCTTCTTTTGAAGTATCTTTAAAAGGGCATAAACAAAATCCTAACTAAATTCATCATTTCTAAAACCAACAAAGAGTTGGAAAATAGTAAAAATAATGCAGTTCTCAAAAGTGATGTTTTCAAATAAGCATTAAAGTCCTAATGTGAATTTCAGTAATTATTTTGAAACAATAACGTGTCTAATATAAACAGATGCAACGATGGAATAAGCATGTTATGCTTTCGGCTCGCTCCTAAATAAGCCGGGAATTGTGGCGAACTACATCGGTAATACTAATTTGACATTGCAACGTTTATAGACTTCTTAGATTTGATTGAACTCGTGGTTTTGTATGCGCTAATATTAATGATAGTTTAGAAACATTATCATTTGCTATAAACTCAACAGACGATATAAAAAACTAAAATGTACAGGTAAATGAGATCTCCTATTTCATTCTGATGGGTCCTTTTTATAAAACTCTAATTCATTGATGCATATTAAAAAATATCCAAGGATATCGTAAGCTTGAAAATCAAATATAAACACTGATCGTTCGACAATAAGGTAATAAATAAGAACAAAGTTTGACAATGGCAAGGTAATCAATCTTCAATTATATTGAAGGGTTGCGGAAATCGTGATTCTATTTAGAGAAATGTACAAAATTTAAGCATCAAGAGTAAGATAATGGAAACATAATTAAATATATAAGTTACTTGCTGATTACAATAAAGTGTTTTCCCGTGTTCCATGTAAAATTAATGAATGGTTTGCGTTTAAAATTTAGTTTAAATGATTACTAATCTAAAGGTTAAGGATTAATTATGAGAAAAGTTTTAAGTAATTCATATAATAGCTGTTGCTTCTAGATACACATAGACTTATGTACGTTACTAAAAATATTTGTTTTTATAGCAAGTTCAGATAACTAGCGATTGCACAATTTCAATAAAACAAAAATAAATTAAAGTTTTTACACTAAAGTAACGATAAATTATGAAAGTTATCTACACCTGCCCTGCAATTCTGTAAAAATCCAGACCCTAATTCGAATTCACTCATGTGTCCGAATTCACATCATTTAGTGTAAAAATTCTATTGATTCCATTTTTTTTTTTGTATAAAAATACAAAACAAAATTGATTGAATAGACGTGTCTCAGATAATCTATATCATTTCGAAACTCACTTCACTTATGCTACGAAACGTTATTACCAATTCAAGGTTGCAAGCTTATGCCTCTTTTTGAAGTCAATTCGGACACCTGAGAGAATTCGAATTCGGGTTTGGAGTTTTACAGAATCGCAGGGCTGATCTGAATGACCATACAAGAAAAAAAAAAGGATATATTACTATTAATGTGACACTGAAAAAGCAGCCACTCAGCATGTGTTGGGTGTCCTAGAAAGCCTGACGCTAATCTTCCGTGGTAATCTTAGGTTCTTAATAGCATTTCTACGCTACGTTCATAATAGTACTTAAATATAACAAATTATAAATTGATAAATTATTCAAAGAGATTTTGAGGAAATTTTAAAGTTTTCAAGTTTATTTGTGGGTGTTATCATGGCCAACAGCACCTGCGTATTTCACGCGGGCAAATTGCTGAGTTTGGGAATCGACAGTATAGTATTTTGAAATTCACAAATACTTGTTTGTAAGAGGTTAAATTGAATAGTTTCATTTGAGTGTCCTGTTAGGTCACTCAAATTAGAGCAGTCGTCCGGATTGCGAAAGGTTTGAGTCCCATCGCCGAGTGCCAGGGACAAATGGGATTATTTAAGCATTTTCTATAAGAACATTTATAAGAAGGAATTAATAAGACCCCTGTTAGACCTGTAAGACCTTGTAAATCTTGATTCCTAGCTCCCTTTAAGTATTGTCTTTATAAGTCTAACAATGCTCTTGACATTGAAATATCTGTAATCCTCCGGCTCGAGAGACACATTTCTTTACGCGACATTAGCAGTTTACTAATCTACGAGACACATCTTGTTGTTCTACACCCATATTAATATCAGGTTTCTTTGGATATCTACTCTTACATGAGGTAATAATAATTTTTCTATTTGTCTTTTTTTTCCAGTACTTTATCTGTTTTTTTTTTTGCATTTTTACCATACAGACCTTTGGAAAGCACTCTCATCTTTTCATCATCATTATCACCAGCTCATTAATATCCCCACTGTTGGGGCTAAGGCTTTTCCTGTGGGTGGATTCGAATCGACTAGGGAGAGTGGGCTTTGCAGATGCAGCCATGACCAATGGCTTAATATACCTTCCGAAGCATGGAGAGCGAGATAATAAATGTTTGGTCACCCATCCCATGGCCGGCCGCTGTGAAAGTTTCTCAACAATTGTATCGCAAACCGAGCGCCGCCGGGCTCCCGTTTTTTTCAACAGAGTTCAAATCATTGCTATAATCGTCCTTTAACTCGTGAGTCAATATAAATATATCAATCTCAGTTTTCTGGACTAAGTCGAGTAAGTCAACAGCTATAAACTTTATGCTGTAACTGTTGGGAACAGCGAACGTCGCTTAAACTTTGTCGCTAAATAAATAGACTCAAAGTCTCTATTCTAATTAACAAGAAGGAGGAATCCTGCTGCATATAGGAAAGCTATACAATCCGAAAATATACATAAAGTTATTTTGAAGTGAACTGATATTTTACAGAAAACATTCAAGAAACAAATGTTGTTGTTACGACAAGACAATTGTGAACATGTTGTTCTCCTTTTTTTTATTGTCTTTGCTGCCATCTGAGTTACCTGCAATTTTGGTACCTTTACTACCTTTATTAAATTAATTACCTTTATTAAATTATTTCTTTAACTTTGACGCCTTTCTTTTCTTCCAACTCCAATTACTGCTACCTGTTCTTTACTTTTCTTATAAATTATTTTTCTTTCGTCATCATATATCTACGGGGTGGTGTAGCTGTTCCCATCCAGCAGTTAGTCCCGAAAAAAATCAGTAATTCATGGAAATGATACAGGAGCTTAGTTATCTAATTTTGAAATCTATCTCAACCCCTTTCTATTTGGCATATGAAAGATATTCACAAGCTTCACGCTTCAACTGTTTGACATGTGATAGCGATAACTGCATCATGAGATAAGTTTAGCTAAATTTTAATATTTTTTCTAGATAATAGGGATGATGACTGGGTAAAAAAATGCAATTCTATTTAGTCCGTCAGTCAGATAATAGAAAAATATTAGATACGTATTTTTTTTACTTCAATTTAACCAGAAATAGTATAGATAACAGGCATTAAAGTTGAGCTCGCTACGTCACAGTTGAGTAGAAAATGTACTCTAATGTGACGTCATGCGAAATTTCAACTTCATGTAACGCCGTAATTTTATGATCACGAAAAAAATAAAAAAATACGTGTTTAATATTTTTTAACACTCTACCTGGCGGATAAACATACAAAAATTAGTCATCATCCCTATTCAAATTCTCATTCGTTACAAGAGTTTGTGACTTTTAACTTTACATAACTCTATAAATCGCCATATCTTTAAAGTAATGGTGATAGATTTTCTATTAGTAGTTCGGTGGAATAGTGGATAAGCGCCACGGCTCGCGTTCGTTGTTGTCAAGCAACTTTAGCGAGCGTCGGTCACGGGATGGGTGATCAAAATAATATTATCTCTAGCTACTCCGTGCTCCAGAAGGCATGTAAAACCGTTGGCCTGGTTGCATTTGCATTCGTTTATACTCTTTAGTCCGCATTGAGACAGAGTGGAGGGTCATGGCCCATCCTCCATAATCATCAGGAAGGCCTGAGCCCTTGCAGGACTGATGACGCATTTATTTGTCTTTAACAAATAATTGATAGAACCTTAATTTAATACATCGATTAATTGATAGAACCGTTTGTTATATACTTAGTAAAGTTTAATAACAATATTATTATAATGACTAATTTGATTAATTTTCCTCATTTTAAGATGGATCGAACTCGATCAGATTAGATTCGAAGTTTTTGTAACAAAACCGATTAGGTTAATTTAAACTCTACATTTGTTGTTTACAAAAGGAACTCGTCATTCGGTGAGGTAAGGTTAGAACTTGTGGTTAGAACTGTGAGCAAAACAAAAAGCGAGCCGAGCGAGCGCATTTTATGAGTTATTTATTAATCTAACTTCTGTTGTTCAAAGGAAAAGAAAACCTAGTAAAGAAATTTGAGTTTTTCTAAAATAAATTATTTCAAATGTTATTTTTATATAAGCTTATGAGTTTTGAATTTAATATAAAATTACTAATAATATTATATAATAACAATTAGTATAAAAATAAATTAACATATAATTAAAATCCTATAACATTCAATTCCTATAGTGAATTGAATGTTATAGGATTTTAATTAATTGTTATTATATAATGTGGGTTTACATTAAATGAGCCAGTGGACGTTTGTGCAACTGGCTGAATATCACATAAGTTTTATGTAAAATATTTTTTTTATAATAAAAAATTATATTAATTGAAAGGTATTTCTTTCAAAATTATATTTTCCGTTAATTATATAAAATAATCGATATATTAAACAAAATTATGTTATTCGAAGGTATCGGTTGTAAATTTTATATATTTTGTTATTATTAAATCGAAATCTATCCTAATTACTCTAAAAACCCTTAGAAAATACACTGCATTAAATATTCCATGGTATGCTAGACAACATTAAACTCTACTTAGATCCGCTTTTCCAAGTTATATTTCCTGATAAAATTCCGCAATAAGATCTTATGACACGACGTGTGCCTCTTTGAGTAAACCTTAACACTTCCCTTACATTTTCTTGAAACTTTATGTGTAATAACATATATTTCCTCAGAAGCATGTCTGTCCTTCTTATCCGTAAGAGGAGCTGTATTTTTTACATTACCTACACACACGTTCGCTTAAATTTATCTGATCACGTTAAAAGAGACGCAAGAAGATGGTGAAAATGGGTAAGTAACACATTTTTTAACTTAACTGGCCTAAACACTTTCTCTACATCTTGTACTAGATAAGACGGTCATGCAGTCATAGACTTTCTTACTGCCGGACCAGCCGAAGCTGGTCAATAGAGAATATTACGCAAAAATTACCGAAAACTTTTTGAAAAGATATACTCAAGCTATAAAGAGAGATATTTCAATTACATTTGTACTTACAAAGAAATTATGTTATATAATTTGAGGGCACAAATGGCATTTTTTATCGATGTAATTTAAAATTAAAAATAACAAAGTTAGTTATAACTTTTGTCAATTTTTCATTTCTTCTCATAATTGTACAAAATTTTTATAAATTAAAAAAAATATATGTGAGTCACTTTGAAATCCATTGCTTTACTTTTAAAATAATGATACAAGTAGTTATCGAGTAATTAAATAAAAATAGTTCTTGAAGCGCAATTTAGCATCCTCTTCTTCAGTCTCTTGTCTTAATGCTCTTAAATTTTCTAGTCATTTCATTAACATTAAGACAAATAAAATGTTACTATATATAACTTGTTTATATTTTCTATACTTCAAAGAAAGTTCGTAAGTTTCGGAGAAAACAACTCACTAGTAGATGTACCTAGTTAATTTTTAGAGAAATAAAATAACCTAAATGGGCTTGATAAATAATAACTAATAAATATCGTATTCTCAGTAATTTAGACTAATTAATCTATCTATCGAATATATTTAAATTAATTAAATTATTTAAACGTGATAAGTACTATAATAAAATGGATTTTATATACAGAATACCTCTCCGTTATGATTTCAGATTCCACGAATTGTCAATATTATTACGTTCTTGTCTAATATCGTTATTATATCCTCTGATTCTCAGAATACATTAATAGGACAGGATACAAAGTGAATATTAATCAGGAATTAGTATACAAAAGATCTATCTAAATAATATAATAATGATTGGTTGTACTTAGTGGATTATTTCGAGTTTATGCTAATACAATAATTATAAGCGCGGTTTTGGTCACATTACAAGTTATTGTGAGATGAACAGTTTGATATTACTCTATTTAAACAAAATATATTATCGGTATTACGTTTACTATCACTCTAAAGACTCATTTCAGCTCATTTTTACATAATTATCTATTTACATTATGTCATTGTGGTATCTACCTGAAGTCTTATATTATTAGTGCAATATCTGCCTCACGAGTCAATGGTGATATTTTGTAATCTACTAACGAGGACTGTGTCATAAACTACAACATTGAATCGGTTTTGACTTTCCATAATTACGCTTACTTAGCAGAACTGCCCTACGGCTCCTACTAGTAATGTCACTTTTCATTATGATTCGTATTGGTGATAATGTATGCTTATACAACAAATTATACAAATTATATTGTGTTCGTTTCTTTCTATTTCTTTAATCAATTAACATCGGAGATAAAGAAAAAAAAAATTAAAGTCGTTGCTACTTTAGATATATCTAAATATATATAACTCAAAGGTGACTGACTGACATAGTGATCTATCAACGCACAGTCTAAACCACTGAACGGATCGGGCTGAAATTAAGCATGCAGGTAGATGTTGTGACGTAGGCATCCGCTAAGAAAGGATTTTGATCAATTCTACCCCCAAGGGGATAAAATAGAGGACGAAAGTTTGTATGAAACTTAGTCAATTTTAAACCGATTGGGCTGAGACTTTGCATACATAAAGCTTCTATGAAGTAGGCATCTCCTAAGAAAGGTTATCGATAAATTCCACCCCTAGGGGTTAAAAATGGGGGATGAAACTTTATTTCAGGTATTTTACACAATATAATGAATAAATATTCTTAAGAAATGCTGCTCAAAGTAACTTTACCACGCGGACTAAGTAGTGGGCAAAAGCTTGTCTACTATAAATAAGGTTAACTACAGAATTTTAAAATTATGTATGAAAATATCACGAAATATTAAAATAAACAAATTACAAGTAATACTTATTTTAATAAGATATAAAAAACAACGAGACGAAAAGTGTGTACTAATTAAAAACTATCCGTGTAAGTATGCAAGTATGTCTGGTAAATAAACAAGGTGTATATTGAACGCAACGCAAATCTTTCCTCTATAACATCAGCATATACGTATTTCTCTGTTTTACTGTCTCTGCTTCTAAATAACTTTATCCCAGGATAATTTTAAATCAAAACAAGATTCAAAATAGCAAAGGACGCAAAATGAATGGGTCCATCTCCAACAGGTGTTAATGTTTGAAACTTTACTTGGAACACTTATAAAGACAGTTGCGAATTAATAAAGTCTCATATACTTTCTCCCTACTACTTTAGATATATCTAAATATATCCCTCTCCCTGTACCCTCTCGTATTATGATAATAAAGTATGGAATTCCTTAAATTTTGTTGTTAAAATTTATACTTTTAAAGCAAATAAATCATAGAACTTCATTAAGTACAAAATCTTAGAAACAGAAACATTGTTTGATAACTTCTAAAGGTATTTCATAATCTTTCAGTAAACTTCCATTTGTATACAAAAGTGCTTTGTTTTGTATTTGTTTAAACAGTGGTTATCTAATTGTCGAAATTCGTCAATAAAGTCTGAACATTATTAAAGTTTTATTATCAACGACTATTTATACATAGGTTGTTATCCATTTTTATACTGACAGCTCGGATGTGTAAATGTTCATTACTACGTAACTCTTAAAATGCCAAAAATTTGATCATAATCTTAAGTAGGTACCAAAACCGGACCATCTACCTTATTACCTATATCATTGAGAAATAAATTTCATATAAATACCTCCAACTCTAGCTCCAAAGGCGACTCCAACTGCACACAGGGAATTGTTAGCGGTGGCTGCGACCTCTCCTGCGCACCTGGTGCCGTGCCTATTGGAGTCTACCAAGTCGTAACGTGGCTGAGGATCGGAGTCATGTGAGTTTACATCGTACGACGCCATGGGATCCTGGACAAGAAAAAAAAATTAACATCTATCTGTAAATATTAACGTCGGTCCCCTTGCAGGGTAATGTATGAGAACGGAACAATCATTGGTCAGGGTCAAAAAAAATCTTACTAAAATAAATTTAATAAAGGTGCTTTAAAATTTTTTAACCTACCACCACTCAGGATGTCCTTGGCTGTTAAGAAAAATATACGAAAGAAACTCACCAGTACTAACAGAAGTTACAAAATTTAAAAATACTTTATCATATTAAATCAATTGCAACAAGTATATTGTTTTTTTATTGGTCTTAGATACGATTCTTCCTTCGATTGTTCGAGATTCATAACGCTTTTCAAACATTCTGGTCGGTTTTATAGATTCTGACATCACTTTCTTCCAATAATACACGTTCGACTTGGTAATGGATCGTAGAAGTTGTAACATATAAATATTTATGAATAAATTTTAATATACATCAAATACTTATCTGTCATTATATATTTATAACGGCCCGTTTCTTAATTGAGAATATGTACTTTTCTCAACTTAAGTTTTTACGTTTCACTAGGCAAAAAGTCCAAGATTTATCAAACTGCTATCAACTAATCATTAAAAAAAATAAAATCAGAAACGAAAACCTGTTTAAGTGACTTTTAAGATGGTTTAAGAACGGTTTGAGACGTGCTTAACTTTGCCAGAATCGAGAACATTTTTATTTTACAAATACTTACAATACTTTATTAACGCTGAAGAGTGTCAGAGGTGATTGAGTTCCACTTAGATTCTTTTAACAACTCAAATAGTTTTTATGTTCTCAATTTAAATAAACCGTATCTTAACATGTATAAATCTTATTTACGTTAAAGTTACATTATTTTAAGATAAACAATGATCAGAATAATAGTCCACTTGAAAAGTTTAAGTCGTTTTAAAGTTTAAAGTGCTTTTAGTATGTTTTGGTACGATACAATAAATCCTGGTATTCGTATGCACACCGTTTGTTTTAAGTTTTAGGTGTTGCTTACATACCACCGCGACCCAATTCTCTATTTTCCCGAATGCTGAAATTAAAGCGAGATGAATCGTGTAATTTGAAACTGGGCTTTTGTTCAGATGTCACTCCGGCCCTTTTACCGTGGCCTAGAGTGCCCTCAGTCCCATCTTAACCTAAATCGGTGTTTGAAATGGCGAGTATTAAGTCGGAATGAGAAATACCTATTTTCTATTGAATCCGTTTTTTTTTATCGTAAATCAATAGGGTATCTAATCAATACTAACTAAAGCATTTCAGTTTATAATATCACAGTTTTGTATTATTTCTATAAATAAATTATTAGAAATAAATGGTTTGATGAAAAATTTTCAGACTAATCGGAATATTAAATGTAACCTATAACGTAATCTTTAATAAGCAAAATATACTAACGATAAGACTTTTAGATTAGACGGATTTAGACTTTTATTTTTGGACTGAAGATTACATTTAGGTATCTTAGAGAAAAATGCTTAAAAATTCACTAGTCTTTTACTGGTGGTGAGAAATTGTTCAAATCTAAATCGTTTTGAACAATTTCGTACCACTACTGAAAGAAATTTTACTTTATTTAAACCTAAATGTAGTTACGATAAAGGATAATAAATGTAATAATTGAGAATCAGTATTACATTATGGTCAACGTTGATCGGAAGATATCTTATTTACTGACATAAAAAAGGAAACATTCTTTTCAATTATTTTATGTGACATAGGTCGGTATTGTTTATTAATTTTAAGTTAATTTTGGAGTTACAGTTGATATACACGAAATCCTTAATTAATAAATAAATGGAATAACCTCTAGCAAAACGACACGACAAAACTCAGTAAACTACTTACAGTTCCAAGTGTCTGTTTAAAATGTTGTGGAAACAGCTTTGAATATTAAATTACCTAGCGTCTATTTGTCTGACGCTCGGATTTTGTAAGTTCAACTGATGAGTTTAGTCGAGAATTATCTCATTTGCGTTACTGGTAGTAGGTATGTGGTACGGGTTAAGTTTATACGGTACATTAATTTCCCATTAGCTTTGAGTTTTCAATAGACTATATACGATCAAGTTGGTTTATGGATTTCCGTCGTGTTGGAATCGTGTTTATATAGATAATTGTGTCAATTCTATTACATATCGCCTTAATCCAAACGAATAAAATCTTATTTGGATTTGGTTTTACCTCCGCGAAACAGCAAACATTTAATTAAAGAAATATACTTATAGTGTACTTTAGATTAATGTTGTGAATTTATAAGTTATTTGTTTAAAAAAAAAAACATATTTACATTATTAAAATACATTAATTAATTAAATCGGTCTTAAAGAAGTTCTAAGCCTTAAGCATTCTTTTAAAGATTATGAGCATATAGCGTTTTAAAGAAATTTTTAAATTACATAATAAATTTAGTCTAGTTTGTGCAACAGAATCGTTACCAATGTTTTTGATGTGGATAAATTAGAGCAAAATTTTATATGATACCATGACAACGACACCAGCAACGCTTCCGTAGCTACCGTTGGCATTTATAAGATACCAATCAGATGCCAAAGCTGTTGACGAGGAAATGATTAGTATCGCAGATGACGGCGGAATCAGATGCAATCGCCAGCGTTCAGGCTAGAGGTATTGATGTATGACGTATGGTCTATTGATATGTGATTCTGCGGCTAGCATTCAAGATATTTTTATTCTACAAGAGCTGACCGCGCTATAAATAATTTACGGTCTAGGGAACCTCTAAGAGAAATATTTAAAGAAATAAATATTTTGACTGTTGCCTCTCAATACATATAAAAATATTATGTACGCAAGAAAACATTACGATTCCTTCAAAGAAAAGTGGTGTTCATAATCTTAACACAAGAAATAAAAATAAACTTGCCGTTACAAACTTCAGACTTCAAAAACCAGAGGATCATTTCTGGGTAAATGCATTGCTATGTTCAATAGTTCCACAAAATGTGATTAAAGGCTATTATGACGTTGATTATTATTTTAAGGATCGCAATGCATGGAATTAATAGCCTTCGCTTTAATATATAATTATATGTTCCAACCTATGTAATACAGACTTTGAAAGTTGTATTTATAATAATAAATACAACTTTCAAAGTCTGTATTATAACCATTTTGCTAATGACATGATTTATAAAAATGTCTTCTAAGAAAAGAGCTGGTAAGTTTCTTTTACTTGTTTTTCTTGTCAGCTAAAAGACGTCCTTTACAGGTGGTAGGGGAAAATTTTTCTTTTGGACTTGAAACAAGTTTACTTGAATAAAGACATTTTCATTTCATTTCATTTCAATGCCAAAATGTCTACTGTATATGTCATGCCATTTCCAAGTGATACGTTACCTACCTCTATACAATTAACTAAATTTTATTTGTTTGTTTGACGACGTTGGCGAAATCACTGCCATGTAATCTTAATGAGGTATAACGCTTAAATGATTAATAAAGATTCCCTCCTCCACATTTAAGGGTACTTACATAATTTGCTATTAAATCTGGATGATCCGTCTCTAGGCCATCATCCAATATGGTGACAACGACGCCCCGGCCGGTGATGCCTTCCCGCCACGCAGGTATCACGTTCATGTCTAAACCACCTCCACGATTCTTTAGAAAAGAAGGGGAATATTAAAAACTCAGCTGTATTTCATAGTTATTAGGTTGTTATTAAAATAACATAAGTATGCAAATATTTTAATTGTTCTTTGACTGCAGCGGCAAGCTTAAATAAATAAATTCTTTGAATATGTTTTCTATATTTGGATATGTATTAAATTTATCATTTAAATATATTTCTCAGTTATTATATATTATTTTTATTAAGTCATTGTTTCTAATACAGAACGTTCTTTTTTTTTTGTTTTCAGAAGGAAATTGTTTTCTCCTTCTGTATAAATTAAATAAACACAATTTAATAAAAATTTCATTCAATTGCATGTACAATCATTTATTTATTATCTTTTTTTTTAATGTAATTGAGTAAAAGAAAAAATTTTTCATGACTAAAGCTTTACATTGAGCATAATTTATTTTATTTAAATAAAAGAATTTCAAAATGAGTTTTATTTTTTTTATGTCAAATTATATTGCTAAAGTTGTTTAACCAGTCTTAGGCAGGCCAGGGAGCAATATGTCAACTTTGTATTCCGAAGAAACCCAGGGCACCTTCTTTCTTCCTTTTTTTTCATATATTGAGTCTAGTTGAAAAATAACTTATATGCAGTCAATTTTCATTACAATATGAAGGATTCGTAATATATGAAGTAAATCTTATTCTGAACCTCCTTTTGTAACGTGCAAGCTTAGTCAATAAAAATACAAGAGCGAAATTTCACGTCAAAAACAAATACCTTGAAATTTCAACAAAGCAAGAAGGGTTGGAATTAGAATTTACATTGTATTTTATGGTAAGCGAATAATTGGAGCCGTCTATGTTTGTCAAATCTCGTTTGCTCTGGTAACAAGATTAAGGTTTTCAACGCATAGCACATTTTCTCTGTTAACACAGTTTTTAAATGAATTTCAATTTTGCTTCAGGAGTTATATGTCCCTTAAACCCTTATAATTGAAAATAATTCCTTAATCTCTATCATGCAAAATCGTTAAGCCACACGGTAGATAAAATGTGGTGTACCTAAATAACGGAATACCAAAATCATCTCGTTTAATAGCGCAAATAATTTTTTTTTTTTGGTACCTACCAATATTTCATTTAGATAACGTACATAAAATATTCGAGCAAATGCAGGTAACTGACGTTTTCAGCGAATTGGAAATGTCAGTTACCTATATTTATATGAAAGATAGATATAGATAAAAGATAAATCAAATATTTTCTTTATCCATTCATTTCATCTCGGACATTTGCATGATATATCAAAATGTACTTTTACGCAATCTGTACTATCTATATATTAAAGTTTATTTTTAGCTTTTGCTCTATATCGTGGACTTTGACGGAGACGATATAAACTGCACCAACGAGCTCTATTATTTTAAAATTCAGAATTTTACTGCAAATATTGTCAAAATTTTTAAATCGTCAATTACTACAGATACATCTTGTAGATAAAATTTGTGAAGAATCAATTGAAGATAAATTAGAATAGTACATATTACTTGTGAAATAATAAATTACTTACAAGATACCACATGTGAGGCCATTTGGGGTCGTTCAATTGAAATTGCGAATCAGCCGCTCGCGGCCTACCCTTCACACGGCCTGGCTGTAACTCTCTCTTGGACCCTGCTTCTCTTTTGGATGCTGTTGACGGTGATGGCGCGTCTGATGATTTTGTTTCAGCTGTTTGTGTAATAATAAATAATAATAATTCTGACCTAAGCAAAATCCTCATGAATCAAATGTGATAGAGGAATATATTAAATGCTATTAAAAATATATCTTGAGAATACGTTATGATCTTAGCTGCTTATAATGACTTCCATCGAAGAAAATATTTGTGAAGTTTATGCGGATAACCAAATTTAAGCTCTTACTAAATAAATAATAACTGTCTTATCTGAACCAGTAATTAGTAACTATTAAGTCATTAGGGATAATTTGACAAATTACTATATAAATAAAATATAGACAAAGTATCGTGAATCTATAAATGAAACATCTGTTCTGTGGATCACTTGGGATATTTCCAGAGACCACCAGTGTTTAGCGGATTACCGGTTAAGAATCATTGACCTAAACACAACAAGATATTAATAAGGAATCCCTAAACCAGCAATTGTCACCAATTGTCATACCTGTGGCGGTGGTATATGTCATTCTTATCAACCGACCTCTTTGTTTATACTCGTATGAATGCAAAACGAAAATTTTTATGAATAATTATATGGTCTGTCTTTAATTACCATGCTGTCAGACAACTAAAAGCATGTTTTATTTATTAAAATATTATTATTAAATGGAAAATTTGATATAATTTTCCATATACCAATTTCCCTTTCCAGCTAGTATGAATAAGTTACATCGGCTCTAATAATTATTTAAGTTTGATCACGCTTTCTCACAAATCTAGCATACATCATAAGTCATCACTTAGTATTGATAAATATGGTGAATTAGTATTGATAAACAGCGTTGACCAATAAAACCATGGAGTTATAAATGCAACATTTACTGTTACCTGTGGAAGAGCAGTCTTGTTGAGATTGTATAGGTATATAATCCCTCTTTTTTCTGGAAAGAGCCTTCTGCTGTTTGGCCCACCGTACTCGCATGTCCCCTTCTAACTTGCCGTGGTGCTCGTGCGCAGGGGTTAACGACCTCTTAGATATAGAATTGTGGTGGAAGTGATAATGATTGTCAAATATCTGCAACAAAAGGAATAAATATATATAACTTTGATAATTTGTAATTTTTTATCTATTTATGAAGAGTTAATTAATTGTTTTCAATATAAATAACAAATTTATGCTATGTAAAAAATAAATTTACCAATTGATAAACTTTTAATGATGTCAAAAAAAAGAACGAAAATAATGACCGCTGTGGATGACAGACACTGGCCATCGGCTTGTGTAAATAGTTTTTTATATATATTATGTTTTTATACTTTTGAATATGTATTTTTGATATTTATTATGTTGATATCTGTCATTGTAAATAAAATCTCTTATAACAAAATTATTATCCGCTAAATGTGTGCGTGTCTTCAATAACCGCTATTTGACCACAAAACTCCTAAAGCTAGATTTCAATACAATTTGCAACGATGGTAACCCGACCACAATTTTGCGAGTAAAATTTTACATAATACATCCATTTTAAATTCGCCGTAACAATGATGCGAGTCATTCCCGAAACTACGAAGCACGACCGACTTTAATTAAGCTGTGGCTATCCTATAACACGGAATAAACGACATTTTATTCACAATAATTTTACAATTTCATTATTACGAATACGGAAATATTTGAAAGCCATCCATTTAATTTTAATGCAGTTAAAACATTTAATAATATTATGAATACGTGTTCAAAAAGTGTCGATGAATAACTAGTGTGAATAATTTCCACATTTCCTATTTTAATAGGGTTCATTATCAGCCTAGTTGCTGCTGCGGTGAATTAACTCCAAAGCTGGGGCACAGGTCTTCCTTATGAACATAAATTAATGTATCTTTGCCCTTAGATGGAATGAATCGAACCTAATAGCAAGAATTAGTCATTGGTCTCCCTATTCGATTCGATTTAATTGGGCTGGACCCGCCCAGTAAGCCAATTCTGCCAATGTTTAAGTTATAATTGCATCTTAGTAAGTAGCTCGGTAGCGTAGTGTATAAGCGCCGCGGCCCGCGATCGTTGTTGTTAAGCAACTTTCGCAAGGGTCGGTCAGGATGGGTGACCAAAGAATATAATCTCGAGCTACTTCGTGCTTCGGATGGCACGTTAAACCGTTGGTCCCGTCTGCATTTGCAGTCGTTAATACCCTCCAATCCGCATTGGGCCAGCGTTGAGGGTCATGGCCCATCCTCCTTAACCAATCCCTAAGGAAGGCCTGAGCCCCTGCAGTGGAGACGTAAAAGGGCTGATGATGATGATGATGATGATGAATGGAATCTCAACTTTTTTGCGATGTCCAAATTATTAAGTGCAATCAATATAAGTCCAATATTATTATCTGATATAGTCCGCCAGCTGCGGATGATTAACTCCACAGCTGTGTCAGATATATATAATAGTATGACTACAGATAGATAAGACGGACGCGATTCTTATGAAACATTAGCACAATTAGCCTGCAGTGCGGATTGATGGATGTTACCAACAGAAGACGTAGCCATTTTCAACGGCTAAACGTGCAGCATAGTAAGCACGGCAGACCTAAGATAATAAATGTTTGGTCACCGATCCTATGACCGGCCTAGCAAAAATTGTTTAACTTCCACATAGCAGACGAACGCGCTAACCACTGCGCCATAGATAATAGAAATCTGTCTCAAGCGCAGCGCTGTCACAGAATAGTTTTGATCAAATAAAACCTACTTCAAAAGTAATAAAGGTTTTAATTCATTGCACCTTTTTGCTGCGATAACGCTGTGCATAAAATAATTTGTGTTTGTATTAAATCAACAACCAATTAATTGTTTAACATGAATTAAGTGAGTTTAAATCAATTCACACTGATGATGTTAATTTGATAATATTCAAATGAGTAGAATAATGTAAGGCAATTGAAATAAATGTACAAAATGATTAATTTTATTTTTTTAAACTTAATATAGTGATTTATTGTGTTTAAAAAATTGATTTTTAATATTCACTCGTAAACTATTTTTGTAAAATAAATAACATAAAAACTAAAAAGCTCGACTTTCAAAATTTTTAATAGGGATAATGACTATTTTTTGTTTGATAATTAATATTTTTTTGTTATTGAAGAATATTAAACACGCATTTTTTTTTTATCTATAAATTACGGCGATAGATTGAGTTGAAATATCGCATTGCGTCATGCCTTTATACATTTTCTACGTAATTGTAACACAGAAAGCCCCTCAACTTTAATGCCTATTATCTTAGCCATTTCTTGTTAAATTGAGCAAAAATAATACCTATCTAATATTTTTCTATTATCTGGCTGACGTATTAAATAGTTTTTTTTTACCCATTCATCCCTATTACAAATGTTTCACAGAACGTGTCCCCCGACTGCAATGAAAATTTGTTTAGCCAAGCCATAATACAACATGTTCCTTATTTTAAAGCAAAATTTTGGCAGTAGTGTTCTAAGTTTTTATTCCTTTTAATAGCCAAATAAGTTAAGACATATTTTTATTATATTTCCATATAAAAAGCGTATTATTAGGTTAAATACTAAGTAAAATTTTATAAAATCACGTTTTTGCTGTGATAGATCTCTTTGGAATATGAATTGCTTTTTTATTTCTATTTATATCTAGACGTTCTACAAAATCTGTTTAATGTTAAGTGATTTTTGGAATGTTCTTAACTACTTTCCGATTTTTATAAATATTAAGCCCTAATACCTATATCGAGAGATTAGTCACCTATTGCTTTTGTTTTATAATTAATGACATTTATATTAAATAAGTCATATTAGAATTCACAATAACACTAAAAGTAATATGTTATTTTAATGAAAGTTAATGGTAAATTTAAAATTTAACAACTGGAATAATAAAACGCGCATTAGCCTAAAAAACAAAATCAAAATTTCTATACTTGAAATCGCATTAAGATCCATTTTATAATAATCTATTTCAAAAACGCCTCCATGAGCGATAGTAGTAAATATTTAGAACGAAAATCGCTATTCTTTAAATCAATTATAGTGAAAACCGGATTTGTAAGGAGAACCGTTAAATTGAAGTACCTATTCAATTCAAGAAAAACAAAACAATAATGAGTCACGAAAATGCTGCGTCTTTAATTATTTAGATTCTAACTTCAGCTCTTGGCCAAGCATCTCTTGAATTCGCCCCTTCCAAAATGGGGGTTAACACATTTTTTATCTATGCATGAGTTGAGCTCGCATTTTTACCTTTCCATCCCCCCTGTTCCGTAAATGCAAAAAGATTTAAAGCTATCCCGATAAAAAACGGTGACCCGAATAATATAAATATAGAAAACATTCCGTTGCGTCTGATCCATTACGGTGATTACAATTTCTACAAAAAAAAAAACAAAGGTTCATTCAAATCGAAAATAAAATGAAGGGGAAGCTCTCTTTTGATCAAATTTATAAATTTGTTTCCGATTCTGTATTTAAAAAATCATTTTGAAATATTACGAGAATACACGTTTTAAAATTAATTTGAATTAAATTTCGTATCATATTTAGAGGAAATTGTTAATAATAATTGACATTACTTCGTATAATAGTTAAACTATAAAACCGATACCAATTTTTGAATTCATTTATTTGCGTTGATTTTATTCAGATAGGTACCAAGTTTCAATGAAATAGGTCCAGCTATATACTATTTAATAAAAATCATCCTGTAACAACAAACGTTTCATAGTCTCATGGAAATAAAATGTTTAAAGTATGTTGCACTTGATTGCATAAACTGCGACAGCGTTCGGAGTCGAGTTAGTCACAGATTTTTTTACAGAATAGCACTATAGTAGTAAACAAACGGACGCACAGACGCACGAGAGATCCATGTTCGGTTTTATTTGTTGACTTCGGAAAGGGAAAAACTAGAGTAAAGAAAACTGATATTTATAAAGTGTCGTTTAGCGCTGTCCTTGCAAATCGCAAATTGTATTGAATTATTCATAACATTATTCGGTATCTTCACTCAGATAGTCTTTTAATATCTTTTTCTTTTTCTACTAAAATAAGAATATACAGCCAAAATATTCCATGTTAAAAATGCATTGAAAAAGAATAATAAAAAGAGGTGGACCTATTTAGAAAATCTCAAAGGTTCTGAAAAGCTTATGAAGGGACTTTCACTACGTCTAACCTAAAAGTAAGTCCTTAATAACAGAACAGAGTTCATGTAATATTTTTTTTGAAATCTTTAAAAGTCTGGCAAATACGTTAAGGTGAAAATATAAGTTCGTTCTCTTATATAAAAGCAATAATAAAGTTACATTAAATGTAAAAGAATACTTAAACATTATAAATAATTGAAGAAAATATCATTCTAAGGTGAAATATAACATTATCTAAAATCAATAATATACATACTTAAATTAAAAAATAGTAAACAGACGTGCATTGCACAAAATAACATTTACGTTACTTAGCATCAAATACAAGGTTAGTTAGTAGAGGGAACCATAAAGTATTATATATAATATATATAATATTATATATATATATATATATATGTAATCGATGTTTTACTCCCTCGTAGAATAATTAACCATTATTTACCTTTTTACTCGACCGCCCAACAAATGAGTGTATAATGTTAACATAAATTATAGCCTATGTCAACCACATATGATGTAGCTTTCCGTAGGTGAAATAATTTTTTAAAACGGTCCATTAGTTTTGGAGCCTATTCGTTAACAAATAAACAATCAAATCTTTTCTCTTTATATAAGTTTATATAGCTTTGAAAGACTTAATGGATAATAATCTTTAGGGTAATTAAAAACGTTACATGATCATAAGTGAGACTGGCTATATATTACAAAAATATATTCAATATGAATCATCTATAACATCACTTTATAAATGTGAAAAGGAATATTCGTATTGCCAAGTGGATTTTTTAAGCATTTTCCATTAACAATATTTTTCACTGTAGCATTGTGACTGCAAAATTAATAAAATATAATAGATAGTTTATATATCATAAAGAGGTAAGATCTGTTTGTTTATTTGCATA